AGACACAGAGATAGGTGAGAGTGAGTTTATTTGCTAAAAAAACGGCGAATGTGAAACGAACAGAAGCGGTGCACATTAAGGCTTAAAGCTGAGTGTTTTGACTGACTTGAGAGCGTGGTCTATTCAGGTCTGTAGTCGTAGGTCTCCGGCAACTGCCTAGTCCAGGTACCACAGGGCATACCATTGATCCATTGGGGTAGTAGCTTAACACGAGACGATGGCATTCTAGTTCTGTTACGTCATCACAATGTCAGTCACACCACGTCGTAACCTACCTATAGTCATACGTATAGCCGCCGTATAGCCTCATATTGTTAAAGCGTATACAAATACCGAACACCCCCCCCCCCCATTGATAAATGAACTACCAAAAGTTGGAATATTTGTATTGAATTACAAACAGGTTGCTGTTACCTCTGTCAAGAAAAGGTAGTTCAATATATAAAATATTTTTTATGCAAGTCTTCGTGAAATGAAAAATTAATAGGAACTAGTTGAAAAACGAATTACAATTTACAACAAATAATTAAAAATTGTTTTATGGAGCATACCCCGGCTCTTAACCACCACTGAACTTTATTTACTAAAATATTAAATTTTTATAGCCTATGGTGTAACCGTTTCCGTAGTGTAGTGGTCATCACATCCGCCTAACACGCGGAAGGTCCTGGGTTCAAGCCCCAGCGGAAACAATTTTTTTTATCAGTATTATTGAAGCATAATAATATAGATAAACTACTTATCTGATCATTAGTGGTTTCAATTATAATTGTTGTACGCTTTTTTGCTGACTTCTTTTTTTTCTGGTATGACACTCTGTTAATGATATGTTCAAAATCCAACATTTTGTTAATTAGGAGTGTAGTATGGAAGAAAGAAAATGGTGCTCTACTTGTTGAGTCCATCTGTTTCTCTGATGCCCAGCAGGCTTTAAAAAAATTTATTGACCCGATTCATGTAGGCTACACATCAAAGCTGGACGGACAACCACCAATGTCCGCCACCCCCCCCCCCCCTTCCGGGAATTTTAGGCCGCTACCCCCCGAACATTTCAAGAGTAACCCGGAGAAAAATGTCTGAAAGAAACACTGTAGTAAAGTAGTTAATAATTTTCGAATTAACTTTTACTTTTATTTTTTTCGTCAGCGGCAAAAAATGGCAAAATATAAAGAGAAAAATGATAATTCCACTTAATTAAGTGATTAATTCGAGTGTTAAGAAGACTTTTAAGAGCGAATTTGACAAATCCTGACAAGGTTGGAGGGGGAGGGGGTGCAAATCGAAAGTTTGAGGTGGGGGGGGGGTGCAAATCGAAAATTGAAAGTTTGTCTCCGGGTGCCGGGAAGGGTCGCAACGCCTCTGGGGGTGACACCATTAAGTGACACCCGACCTCGCTACGCCACTGGGCTGTGGATTTACACGGGGGGGGGGGGGGGCATTGCCTTCCCGGTGAGGTACCTTAAAGAAACACACAAAAAATAATTCTTAAAAAGATAAATACAGTTGATCCTGGGGGGGGGGGGGGGGATTCTGGTACTCATGAACACATCATCAGCTTTTTCCGAGACGTGTCCGAGTCACATGTGGCAGATGTAGTAGAGTTCACCTGTTTAAATTACCCTTCCGTACTAAGTATGGTCAGCACTATGACAGCCGCGTTGATTTCCTTAACGTGAGCATGATAGACCTACCCATCAGAGTTGGGTGGACTGAGGGACGAACTACATGCCCCAGACTTGCGGGTGAGCAGTCGTAAATTCTACCATCCGACCCCGTCACGTGAGCCATTTGTCCCTAAGGATGGAGTGAGTTCAGTGAGACTTCACGGTTCGTGTGCAAATTATTTAACACAAAAATTGGACTAATTCGACACCCCAGGTAATCTTACAAACATACATGAAGTTAGCCTTTCAGCTTTGTGAATGTGGTTTACATTGCTTAATTTACCCAGATAAACACCAACGAATACGAACACAGCCAGTTGTTTTAATGTTCCTGGACTATAATTTCAATTTTAACAAAATTTGAACTAGATCTAGTTGAAAATAAGTTTATTTACTACAAACTATTTACAACTGCTTTTATTAACTTATACTAATTCTAACAATTACGTGTTTCCGTAGTGTAGTGGTTATCACATCCGCCTAACACGCGGAAGGTCCTGGGTTTCATGCAGAAATCGTATGTAGACGTAAAAGATGGGATACATATATAGTGGGTCGCGAGACCAAAAGTGGTGGTAACATTCGATCACAACGTTGATTATGCATCAGTGGTGCAACTCATTGTCCTTCCTCTGTTCCAAGATATGAGTGTAATGAGTTTTAAAAAGTGTGACTCATTATGTTGGCAGTCCTAATATTCTAGTATGTCCTCAAATCGATTATTTTTATTTTCCCCAGATTTTTTTTGGCTTAACTTCGAGTAGGTAGTCCAAACTGGCGAAAAAGTGCGTTTTAGGGTCAGTTTTTGCGGTTTTCAAAAAAAAAATTTCACTACTTCTAGTTGTCCTATAAGAATAAAAATTATATGTCAATAAAGTTTAAGTCTTTATCTGTCGTAATCTGGTATTTTTATATCTGTAACACATGTTTGAATGTGTTTTATATTTGTTTGAAAAGTATCAGTTACGTCAACAAATTTCACCGTTTTGCGTGTACCGATCGACCCCACACTGTTTTATTTGGTCGCGGCTTCGCGACGAAGCATCGTAGAAGCATAATCTTAATGTCATTTTAAAGATCGAATTCTAGGCTATCGTTTGATGTATAAACTGAAAAAATAACTTGTTTATTTCATTTAAAAAATACAGATTTTAAACTTTAAATGACGATATATACACGGAAACAAACTAATTCTGTTTCAATTTTTACACCGATGTAAAGTTCAGTTTTATAACTACTTTGTGTTGTAAATTCAAGTATTTCTGATTTACGGTCGCGAAGCCGTACCCCCAATAAACATATAACCCTCGAGTCGACTTTCAGCCCCGAGTAAGTTGCTCGCCGAACGGTTTTAAAGGTTGACGACCGATGATGCTAAACGGATTTTACCCTTGCTAGAGCCTTCAAACAAGTTGTAAGTATCATTTTTAAAGTTTCATTTCCATTTTAATAAATGAATTTTAAGTTTGAATGTCAGTTTGGTTTAATTAGTACGCGTTATTAATGTAAATTTGAACGCTACAAGTCCACGGTTTTAGCGTGTGAACTACGCTTGTACACAGGCTATTTAATTCAGGACATTCTAGGGACTTGAAATATGGATGCACTTAACTATTAGATGCTAGTGTTTACTAATTCTTTAAAATCTATTGACTGGGATCAATGATAGGGTCGTATTACTACAGTTTATCTGGACTATCACGTCAAAATTATGAATCGACAAATTCAAAATGGCCACCAGACTATCCTGGTTACTATGTGGACGAACTCAATTATTTACAGGAAACGAAGGTTAAATACTTATAAAATACTAATGAAACACAAAATAAATTTATAATTATAATAACTATACATTTTTATCAATGTATTTAAAACAAAAGACACTAAATTTGAAGGACTAATGTGATTAATTTATTTTTATTTTCTGTTGTGCACTCTGATTCTGATTCCCCTGCTGAATAATGTGAAATGGTCTGCGCCAGTCTCCTTAATAAAATGTACCAGATCAATTTTTAGATGGTTGTGCAATTTATTAAGATTGTACATGTTGTGACTTAGTTTTAAATGTTATATTAGTTGTAAGTGTAAGTAGTACTAGTAGTATTTCTCATTATTTATTTATTTTATATGCATATAATAGTAACAATGAAGGACAGTTAAGTTGTCCTATAGGATGTTGAGAACCACAGTATGGCATCTTCATCATTGGATATCTCAACCATTGTGGGACAAGCAACGATTATTTCAAATTTCATTCAGTAGAATTACTCTTAAAAATATATATAAAAAATATAAATTACTTTTAACAAAAAGGTGTTTTCAGGCTTTTTCATATGTTTCCAGTTATAGTCATAGGACAAATAGTAGGCCTACACAATAGGCTAGTAGTAAATTTAATTATATTTTATTAATCACTAAATCAATTGTTCGTTCCATAGCTGGAGACATTTACGGTGGCCTATCCAGAACTTTCCTTACAAGGGAAGGGAAGAAGGCCAAGACCCCACTCCCCCCTCCAATTCCCAAAACATATTACTTACTCTTGATGCTCCACAAGATCAAGGTTGAGGGACACAAGACGTACAAAGATGTTCCCCGAAAACTGTTCCCCCAAAGCAGTTATCAGGTTTGAAAAGAAACCAAAGCATGTGGCATCAACTGCTGCATCACTTGTAGGCATCACGTCTTTATTACATTACATTTACTCTACTAAATTTTGATTCTGTTTCTCCTGCACTAGATAACTGTGGTATTTTTTAAAATAATATTTTAACTCATGTGATTTTTAAAAATAATTAACACATTTTTCCACGTCGATGTTACCAACACAATAATTTTAGAGTTATTCCAAAGCAAAAAAAAAAAATGAATTTTTTTTTTTTTTATGAAAATAAAAGTGACCAAAACGCATTTTTGTCATTTTCAATTATTTTTTTACCTTAGAAAGACTCATTTTAGATGACTGAAAAAAATTGGGCATATATATTACAAACTTTGCAGCAACTTTACCAATTTCCACACTTCTATGTTATTTAGTTTAAAAAATATGGGTTCTCAAAAATGGCACTTTTTGAAAATCAGTTTTTTACCAAATTTTGCTTTTTTAAAAATCGCATAACTTTTTTATTTATTGAGATATTTTTATAAAATTTGTGGCATAGACCTTACAATTAAAAGTTCTTTCATGACATACTCACTCCAGAAGTCTGCAATCAATAGTTAATTTCAGTTTGGACTACCTACTTCGAGCCAATTGACCTAGTGGTGGCCCATATTGGAGACTAAAAATGTTGAACTTAAAAACACACAGAAATAACAAACAACATCAAACAAACAGAAATTATAAGAAAAAAATCTTTATTTGCAAATTGTTTTCAAAATATATTTAGCTTATTTAGACAAGTTCTTTTTATTTTTAGGTCCATTGTAAACATTTTGAGTTGCCAGAAAAATAGTGTGATGGTGTTTTTAACAGATGCAACCAGCTGGGCATTAATCACTAGATGTCACACACTGTGGTGACCTTTGGAAAAGAAGAATACACCTACATCAAAACTCACCCCAAGGTGGTATTGTTTCTATTAAACAATCAACTGGGCACACAAGCAACTGTTACTTGGTACACAAGCAAATTTAACTTGGTACACAAGTAAATGCTACTTTGTACACAAGCAACTGTTACTTGGTACACAAGCAAATTTAACTTGGTACACAAGCAACTGTGACTGGGTACACAAGCAAATGCTAATTGGTACACAGGCAAATGCTACTTGGTACACAAGCAACTGTTACTGGGTACACAAGCAAATTTAACTTGGTACACAAGCAACTGTTACTTGGTACACAAGTAAATGCTACTTTGTACACAAGCAACTGTTACTTGGTACACAAGCAAATTTAACTTGGTACACAAGCAACTGTGACTGGGTACACAAGCAAATGCTACTTGGTACACAGGCAAATGCTACTTGGTACACAAGCAACTGTTACTGGGTACACAAGCAAATTTAACTTGGTACACAAGCAACTGTTACTTGGTACACAAGTAAATGCTACTTGGTACACAAGCAACAGTTACTGGGTACACAAGCAACAGTTACTGGGTACACAAGCAACAGTTACTGGGAACACAAGCAGCAGTTACTTGGTACACAAGTATTTTTAACTTTGTACACCAGCAAATTATACCTCGTACACAAGCAACAGTTACAAGGTACACCAGCACATTTTACTTGGCAAGCAACTGATACACATGTAATGTTACCAGACTGACAGCCTGATTTACAATAAATAACACACTAAACTGTGTAGCATTTACTTTCACAAAACACTTGCTCTAGATTATAAACAATGAAACAACTGTTGTTTGCTTTATTTAGACTGATTTACACCTTTTTTTACACTGATGTAATAACGCATAACGGATACATTTCATTATAGTACAGTAAACTTGTGTAGTACCTGAATAAAATCAGCTGTATTTACACTAACAGACCATTCAATGGCAGTATTTCATTATATTTTTTATAGAGAGTAAAATACTTTAAAATAAAATTGATTGGTATCATTTAAAAAAAAAACGCTAACTAGATAAATAATAGTGGAAAAATCTTGTTATAGTTTTAAGTCCAATTAAAATAAAATCAATTCTGACAAAACTACGAAAAAGTCACCCCTTAGTGAAACACCCATAATATTGCTATTTAAGAAACAACATGCAACCTTCACCGTGCTACAGATTCCCAATACAACACTACCTACTTCAAGGTTTAATTAACACTGGCAAAAAAATATAGACTGCCTGATATTAAGTCAACATCTTAAATATTGGGATAAAGGTTACACAAATTAGGAGGCGGAGGAAATTTTTCTTTATGTTTATAAAAATCTGGGCATCAGCTATCACACAATCAACCCAACTGACTCACCAAACATGCGTTCATTTAAATAAGAAGATAATCAAATCATATTATATTAGTAGCAAGTTCACTGTACAAGAAATGTTTTAATTACTTCAAATAAAATAAATGTACACAAAGACAGGTCTGTACTCATAATTCAAAGAATATAACACAAGAGATTAGATAAAGTATACCAAAATGATTAAACAAAAAAAAAAAAAGATTTTAGAACAAAATATTAGCTTTTACTAAGCAATTTTGGTAACAAAAAAAAATAGACAGTGATTAAGGGATACAAAAAAATGACCATCTATAGATGATAACTGACTGGTGCTGTGTACAAGCTAGTAGACTTAATCCAATGATGAAATCATAACACATTGACCTGTGTAGAAGCAAGTAGACCTAATCCAATGACAAAATTATAACACAGCAGCGCTGTGTAGAAGATTATTACACTTTATCAATGATAAAAATATAACACAGTAGTGTTGTGTAGAAGATTATTACACTTTATCAATGATAAAAATATAACACAGTAGTGTTGTGTAGAAGCTAGAGGACCTAATCCAATGACAAAATTATGATGCAACAACCTTTCCTGTGTCCTCTTTACCCTTGTACCGAGCCTTGCCATAAGAGAATGGTAGATATCTGTACCTGATCATGTGCTGAAAAACAAAATGCTTATTAATCTCACAAGGTTTAGAAATTTTAAACTATTTACATCCTTAGGGGATGGATACCGAGAAAATGAAAACAAAATTAGTCCAATGCAATTATAAAACAGGATGATGTTATATTTGTGGATAAAAATATCTTTAAAAATATTTCAATACATTACATAATGAATGCATGCCTGTGTGGTAACAGTTAAATATAAACCTCAATTTAACCATAAATGTCATTGTACATATATTTTTGTTTGGCTTATAATTTATTATAAGTTACAATAGATTTTTGATGAATGTCAATGTAATTTTGTTTTTGACGTGAAACAAAAAATTGAGATCAAAGACACAAAAACGTGTTTCTCTCATTTGCTTTCAGTTTAAAGCATAGTTTTAATGAAGACCAAAGTCAAAATAGTATTTAACTATTGCAAACCCACACATCCCCATTAACTGCAGTCATATGAATAAAGTCCCCAACCCACAATGACTTTTCTTCACCTAATCTACCAAAGGAAACATACCTTGATTTGCCTCTTCATGGTGAGTGTAAAGAGAATGATAAAATACATGACCAGAATTGGCCAGAAGACTGGGATGTTCAATGCATCAAAAAATGTGCAAATCATGGCCACAACAATTGCTTTAGTAAAAGAATACCTGAAACAGATGAAAGACAAATGTACTGGATGTAAAAATATATAAAGCCTTGCTTAAATTTATAGCTGTCGCTGCTAAAAACATTATTAACTAATACACAAATAACTCACCAAAATTTAAATTCAGGAAGCCGCCTCATAAATGGCCTAAATTCTTCACTATTTTTTGTAGGCAGTGATGGGCCATCATCTCCATCTAAAGGAAAAAATATAAACACTCTTAACATTTACTGTAAAACTAAAAGTCAATACAAAAAAAGCCAGCTCTAAGTAATATAATTATGTAAAAGTAATTTGACTATTTTTTTTATATTCATGTCCAAAGTAAAAGAATTTAGAGCTTTATCCAGACAGTGCTAAAGCAGGAAAGCTAGTAAAAATGTGAAGACAATTCAAACAAGTCTACCCAGTACAGATCAGCAAGCTGTGAAAGCCTACAGATCAGTGCCACCATTAATTGATGGTAATATAAACTACCATGAAAACTAGTAAAAGTACCTTAAATTTAGTCAAAGACAGTGACACCATATTTTCTATATGGGTACTTTTGTTTAATAATGTAACTGATTACACTAGTATAAACAAGTTAGATACCTAATTTCAAATACATTTAATGACTGAACAAGAGATTTTTAAGTTACATCAATTTCAACAAAAACACAAATAATCTGTTTTATATGATAGTGGATTTTTTCTAGTTGTCTAGATATCTGGTAGCAGTGTTACAAAACTAAATAGGAGAGACCAACCTGAATCTTCAAATCCAGCAGGATCAATTTTTGGTGTAAGAAAGGCAATAAACAAATTCAGCAAATAGATACCTAATGCATATGTAATTATATACCAGCCCTGAAAAAAATAAACCAAAATTTAGGTGATTGAATTCAGTCAAATCAAGAAATTAATTAATAAAAAGAAGCTAGAAAAAAGGCTAAATACAATACTAAATTAATTAAGTAATGATAACTGAATTACTTACTTGTAAAAAGAATACTCTAAGGAAGTATGCAATAACTAATACTACAGCAAAAATCCACCTTGGTAAAAGATGGGGTGTTGCCTTGTCAAGGTAGTATTGATGACGCTGATAAAAAAAAAGGAAAACAATTCAATACTGGGTCACAAAAAAGAACACAGACAGTATGTATAAGCCAAGAGATACAAAAAAATAAAAAATAAAAAAAATAAACACAAAAGTAAACACAAATGTATACTGTAACTTACATTTGAAACTGTTTTATACAGCTTGTATAAAGTGCCTGGTGGGGCAGGAGCAGAGTCTACTTCCATTTCTTAATATAGACTCCGTCCTGAAGATAAACAGTAAAAAAATCATACTATTAAGAGTAGGAAAAAAACGACAAAGGTATTTAAATTTAAATATCATTATATAAAAAAATTCAAAATTTTGTAGCCTATACACTTAGGCTAAAAGAAAATGTTCATTCTATTTCAGTATACACTAGACTTGTTTGTGAGGGGTGGAACTCCCTGTTCTTGCACCAACCACAGTTTCCCAAATATTTCAGAGTGTCGTGGTGACCCCATCTTTTATAAAAGCCAAGTGGCCTGCGACCCCTTTGAGTTAAAAATGCTATTTCTAGTACAGCTTTATTTTAAATATAGTTTGATAATGCTCTGGGTGAAATTGCATTTTAATTTCTAACCTCAAAATTTCTTTTGTTTTTAATTGGAGAAGTGCTGAAAATACAATCTTACATATAGAAATCAATTTTGACCCCCAACATATTTATCTTATATATAATATCCTAAACATTTGTAATTGTTTTAGATCATCTGCAAATAGGATCCCTTTTTGATATCATCACAATAAATATATTTCACAGAGATAAGCTAATGGCTCAGACAACATATTACGTTTGTTGATCTTGATTCATCAACTTGAAACGCAAAGAATGGTTGATTTCTGCTGAATAGCAATATTAAACTGATATGCACTGAATCTTTACTGCACTGTAATACCCAATAAATAAATTTTACCACCTCCAACATGGAAGAATTGATGAGCTTTCTCCTATAGTGCAAACTTTCAAATGATTACACATATTTAAATAATTATGTCTTTTTTAATGTATGAAATTATTTTTCTTAAAACATCAATATTTTTCCAAAATTTTGCCAGAAATCTGTCTACATAGAGTATTTTGATCAAATCCTATTACAATTTATTAAAACCGTTGGGAGAATGTTAATACCGGTGTCCGATAATGAAATCTTCTTTAAAAAAGGGGAGTTAGGTTCTGATAGTTAACTAAATACAGACATGGCTGGCTAATGTCGATGCTAACCCTGTCCCTAACCGCTAACCCTAGCCATACGCATAACCCTAATTTCTAGCCATAAAATTAGTCAAGATTACAATACTACTAACTTACCAACACCACTTTTTTAAAGAAGATTCCATTATCGGACACCGGTTTCTAAAACACGAAACAACGCCTAAAACTCGCTTTTCTAACATTGCTTTTTTATAATGCAAATAAGTGACATTATACCACCTGAACCCCCTCCCCCTCATCACACACCGTCACAAAATTACAGACCCCCCTCCCCACTTTGAGTGTGATGTCATTTATGGACGACCCCCATATCACCAGTTCCCAATGAACTAAAATAGCCTTAATACTAAAACAGCTTTTCCAAATCAAATCAACACACTTTGATAGGTTTATGCGAGACAACATAATCTACTAAATTAACTAGATCTAGATCTAAAATCTAGAGTGAACTGCCACAGCTGATCACGCATAGTATAGCAAAAAATTCCAAACTCCCGCTTTCTCATTGGGCGCTATTTTGTAACCATTTCACACAGAAACAAACCGAAAGTACTGTAGTACTATTACTCTGCTGCCATTCTACTCTAATATGTGTAAGTCATTTTGTATTCCTACGCATAGAATTTGAGATATTCATGTTTTAGTAGCTTCACTACTTGCGATATTTTCCCCTCCTTTTATCTCTCATGCGGCCGTCTGCACCTGCTAGCGTAATGATCGTATTTTATACATCTTAAACCCATTTGAATAGCTAAAATAAATATTTTACACTTTTAAATGTGTTGTTGATTGTATTATTAATTAAAAAGAAAAAGTTTCCCTTTCAAACCTGACAGTCTATGGGGCAAGTGAAGTAGAGTTCACTTGTTTCTGTGACCTCTGCATATGAAGGGATAGTGTGGTCAGCACTATGCCGAGCCTTTACTTTCCCTAACATGAGTTAGGTACCCATCAGAGTTGGGTGGACTCAGGGACGGTCTACTGACTTGAACCCGGATTCGAACTCGAATTAATTTATTATTAATTAATTAATAGATTGCAAAATCAAATAGGGACTAATAAACACTAATTAAATTTATTAACTACACATCACGGATGACCCAGGGATAACTCAAGGAAGCAACTATAATGTAATAATCATAACAAAGGGACATAACAATCGCTAACAACTAACAAGAAATAACCTAACATTTGCTTAGACATGCTTGTATAAAAACGTTTGATTGGTTGGATTTATTTGTCTCATTCCTGGACCTAGTGTTTTTATCCGGGGGGAACTGGGATCACCAGCTGACGTCATACTTCAACTTAAAAATTTAAAAACTTGTCTTGCAGAAGGAGAAAACAAAAGAATTTGACCTGGATATTGGATAGCCTATATTAAATTTAGAAATGGACATGCGTACAGCAGATACCAGTAGTTTCGTATAAAATTATAACACATCCAAACAATTATTATACGAAGCAATAATCAATAAACACTTATAAACAAACAATGATCGCTTCATGGCTTTGACCATGCGTGGCACTTCACTCGATTCTAGATCTAGAGAAGTTTTTTTAATTTTTTGAAGGAAAGCTTACTAAAAGACTAAAAGTGGCTTTGTTTTGCTGGAAACGTTTAAATTTAAACCTCTAGGCCCTCTAGGCCTACTACTAACTACTAGATCTAGATCTAGATTCTACTTAACTTTAAAAATTAAATATCTAGATTAGGAGTAGGCTTAGTTGACATGTTTTTTTTTATATTATTAGGTCTGATCAAAAGACTAGTGGAAACTTAGCAGATCTACATTTCAGGGCATTACTTTATCTAGATCTAGAGTCTAGATCTAGATCTACATTTCCAAAGATCTCGACTCAATCGTGGGAGAAAATGATTTTTTTTTCCGCTGTCACGTCAGGTTTGTTTGAACATTTGCTGAGGACTAAGATGCTTATATGGCAAAATATTAAGCATTATATACATTCAAATGTTTACCTGTAAAGAGTTAATAGGCGCCGGTATATGAAATATGTAGAAATAACCCTAATTAACTGAAATAGCCACGTTGGAAGGTAAGGAATCTAACTAATCATTTGAACCGGAAGTCGCCATTTTTTCGCCTACGACAACTTCCGTACCCGACGTAGTGTACAAAATTATTTTTCCGCAAAGTAGGCCTAATTAAAAATAATTTTCAATTATTTTAATAAAAAATAGATTTAAAAAAACAATATTTGAAAAAAGTAAAATTAAAATCAATACTAATTTTAAAAATATGTACTTAGAAATGTTGCGTGTATTTCAATTATTCGTGAGTAAATAAATTTATTTGCTACTCTGTATTTTGATAAAAGAAAATTAGTCATAGATTATTTAGTATCTAGGTTTGGCTCAACTTGTGGATCTCCAAAAAAGATTGACCTAGTTACTACTAGATTCTGTATCACGGGTTCCCAAACTGGGGGAGGGGGGGGGGGGGGGGCGGGTCGACAACTGGTAGACAAAACCTTAGCAATGAAAAAAAAACATAATTATTTAAAAGAATATCTGAAATTTGGTTTTTCTAACATTACTGGAAATGGAATAGAAAAGAAACAATGCGTACTGTGCAAAGTTGTTCTCATCAACGAGTCTATGAAACATTTAAAACTAAAACGTCATTTTGAGTTTTGAGACGAGTTATTCAGAACACACCAAAAAAGATAGGGTGTTCTTTCGTCGGCATGAAGTTCGTTGCAAACGTCAGAGACTTGATCGAACATGACGTTTTCCCTCAGCATTAGTGCAAGCATCTAATGAAGTAGCCTTTAAAAAAAAAGCCAATTTAAAAAAGCCTCGCACACAATCGGAGAAAATCTCATCAAGCCCTCAATGTTGAAGATGGTGAAATTAATTTTGGGGATTTCATTGCAGTAAAGATGCAACAGATATTTCTGTCTAATAATTATATTCAGCGGCTTATAGCGGACATGTCTGTGGATGTTAAAGGATACATTTTGAATTAAATCAAGCTTTCACCATTGTTTGCTTATCGAGTTGATGACTCAACAGCCGTGAATTCGTGTTCGTAGTTGCTTGTCTTGTGAAATATATTCATTCAAATGATAGTAAAGAAGAGGAAGAAAAGTTGCTATTATGTGAGGATATCACGGAGAAAATAAATACGTTTTTTTTTTAACTGGATGATTAAAAATGGGAAAACGGCCGTGGGGTTTATACGGATGGTGCCCTCGCCAGCAAGACTCTTCTGACTCCATTGCTAACGCTAAAGAGAGTCGTAAATTATATTAAATCTGGAGCCTTAAACTCCCGTCTGTTTATAGAACTGTGCAAAGATATGAATAAAGATCACGAGGTTATGCTTGTCTACAAGTTATTCTTGGAAGTGCAAGGGAAACTACACCTTTTGATATATTTTAACGACAAAGAGTGGTTGGAGAGAGTAGCACACACAGCATATATATTTGAGCATCAACATAAGCATAACCTGAAGCTTCAGGGAAAATGAACGAATATTAGCTCTCTTCATGATTATCAAAGCTGCAAAATCGGCGAAGAAAAATAAATCTTGGAAATATTTCCATGTTTGTTGAGTATGATTGTGAGGTAAATACAAATTTGAAAGAGCAGATTTCTGAGCATCTAGAATCTCTTGGCATCGAACTGCGGCCTTATCCCTGAGCTGAAAGAAGACGAATCTGCCTTGACACGTTACACATTCTCTGCTTCCCTTGATGTTGCGAGCATTCCCAATGAATTACAATTACATTTACAAGATGAATTCTTAAATGTGCGGAATGACTCCGCGTCAGATGAAAAACTGCTCACACAATTTTGGTGTAGTATGCACCATTCATACCCAAACGCGAAATTGATTGCCTTTTGAGTTTTAGTTCCTTTTTTATTACATATCTTTGCGAAAATAGTTTTTCAACACTTTTCCAATTAAAAAAAAACAAAGTAATAGATTAAATGTTAAGAATGACACGAGGTTGGCGTTAACAAAACCTCAACCGCGAATGTCGAGTCTATTTAATAGCATACAGTTTTACTCATTGTATTAAAACAGTTATCAATAATAATTCACATTGAAAGTCTACTAAAAAAATCTAATTTTAGTACTGATTAATGTCCTTACTAATTTTGACTTTTTAATTCTATGGGGGTCGCGGGTCACTTAATTTTTATAAAAGGGGGTCGCCACTAGAAAAAGTTTGGGAACCACTGTTCTAGATCTATACTTATACTTACATCTAGTTAATCATCGATGAGAGATACATTTTATGATTATTTTATTGTAAATTTAGATCTAGAATAAAATTTAAAAAACGTCTAATATGATAAATTACTATTTTCTGCCGCTTCATAGATAGCATTGTTTAAAACAAGCTATAGGTGATTAGGTTGGCTTTAGTTAGGCCCTATGCCCTATACTCAACTATAGACTATACTCAGTATACTGGCCTATACTATCGAAATCCGGGCCTTATTTCAATTTGGCTTTAGGAATAACAATTAAGTTTAAGTGTAGTTTTTTGTTTTAAAGATTTCAATATTATCCTCATAAAACGAAGAGGAATATTTATAGCTTAGTACACACCGTTGGCGTAGAGGGGAGGGTGGTGTCTCGATTTGACGAATATTATTGTAAAGAGGCCTATTTTCTAATTTGAAAACGCATTGTGGCGATAATGTAGATTTTATCAGGTAAGATTTTGGTGAGATTACCGCTCCATTAATATTTTTGACAAAATCCTCCAATCTTTGAAAATATATACATCATGTAGAAAATCTATAGTTGAACCAGTGACCACTCGTTAAAATTTAATCCCACCCCCCCCCCTAAATTGTCAAAGACCCCTGACAAAAATGTCTTAAAGAAACACTGCCGATGAGCTGATCTACACGAGCTGACAGGCTGATATCAACAACTGACTCTTGACCTCTACAATCGGAAAAACCCTTTGAGGTGCTTTTTTTTTAATTGCGTCTAGCCACAACTGCCCCATGAAGATCCCCACTTTGTTTCACTTATTTTGTATTCAGCTGGTTTGCACACCTCCTCTAGGCCTATATGAAAATGTATTTTAACATCTAAGAAATGACTTGGTATATTTAGTGTATCAATGGCTTCACTAAAAATAAAACATTCAATTCAATCAGAAATTATAAGCTAAGTACTTTATTAAGCAACAAATTTTAAGAAATGTGCAAGTACAACTGTTAATATTAAAACATTGTAGACATACTCATGTGATTGTGAGGTAAATTAAAAAAAAGATTACACAATATTTGGTTCATAAAGTTTTTAAGACAAGTTACATTACCCAGTCCATTTTAAGTCTTTGTTGTAGAAATAAAAACAAATTGACTTAATTACAATATTTACATAATTAAGGATTTGTTTTATTGGTTTATAAGTAAGCATTTTCCAGTACTGCTAAAGAAATGTAGTACTAAAATAAAGCAAACATAATATTGCTAAAGAGATGAAGTAATAAGATTATAGTAACACAGTGCTTCCAGCGTAAGGAATCATAGTACTTAAAAACATATGCAGTACAAAGAAAAATAAGTGAATTATTTATGTGGATAGTGTGGTCGAATAGTAGAGCATTCGGCTGCAAACCCTAAAGTCTTAGGTTCAGATCCTGCCCTCTTGTTAGTAGGGCGTTTCTGAGTCCATCCAGCTCTTATGGATATGTGACTTAAGAGAGAAAGTAAAGGCGGCTGACCCTACTATCACTTCATAGGTCAAGGTCATTGAAATAGGTGAACTCTACTTCCTTCCCCATGGGCCCTCAATTTGAAAGTGTAGTCTTAAAGCTATTGATAGTGATAATTGTAAATGTGAATCAAGTATCCATTTGAGCTGGGTGGACTCAGGGCCATTCTACTACAGCTTTAACCCGGATTCAAAGTCGAGACGTCTGGGTTAGCAGATGTTATATAGTTCGATTAATCAAAATTTTACAATGACATAAAGAATGACATGGTAAATAAGTCACATAAATGCCATTAAATTGAGATAAATATCAGAAATGCTACATAGACAAATAATAAAATAAAATAAAAATCTGCCATACACATCCTAAGAATGGATGGGGACTGAAAACAAATCTAAACACAACTGTAGTATGTATACACTGCTATGCAGATGCTATTAAAACTGTTTTTTGTTTATTACAAAACAAAACATAAAGAACACATGGTAGCATGGATATTGCATATCATGATTGTCCTTGGGGTAACACTGAATTACATAAATAAATATATAACATTTAGAGTGAAGGGTTTTTAAATATGCACTAAATAAAAGAAGTAAACACAATATTTTTTTAAAAATATAGTAGTTATGTACTGGTTTTACAATATTACTATCCAATACCATTATACAGGTCACTAATGTATTCAAAGTGTTTAAAAATGTGTAGGCCCAATCTCTAAACAAATATAACTAGGTCTAAGTAGAATTGTTTTGTTAAACGCTCCTAACACATTATAATAGACAAATAATAAGTGTGATCAAAATCATGACTAAAAAAAATTGAGTGCTGACTGAAAGTGTCTAGAAAGATTGCACAATTAGTTGAGAGTTGTAATAATGCACATTTTAAACAACTATTATTAATTAAGTAAAAATTAATTAAATATCATTGACTTAGTGTCACAATGCATTGCCAATGGAGCTTAAGCTGTTAGATTTAAAACCAATCAGAAGTTGATGAAAAACTGATTACAAGATATCACAATAACATGACAAGGAATTGAGTAAAATTAAAGCTTGTAAAAGTAATTGTCTTTCAAGAGTCTTTAAAGCTGTATTACGGCAAATAGATAAAATAATTTGATTTGTGTATGTGTAATCAACAACATACTGATTGCATAGCCAATTAATTATTCTTTAAATCTCATTGATTTGAATATGCTAAGTAGATATTCAATTTCATCATTGCAACATCAAGAGATTCTATCACATTATCATAACATGAACAAGTTCAAACAATTTTAATGGGGCAACATGAATAAGTTCTATCAAAAAAAAATCTCACAGGGATACAAGAATAGGTTCTAAAAAAAATTTCATAACATGAGCAAGTTCTGTCAAATTCTCATGGAGCAACATTAACAGTTCATCGAATTCTTGTGAAGCAACATGAACAAATTCTACCAAATTCTTGTGAAGCAACATGAACAAATTCTACCAAATTCTCATGGCGCAACATGAACTAATTCTACCAAATTCTCATGAAGCAACATGAACAAGTTCTATCAAATTCTCATGAAGCAACATGAACAAGTTCTATCAAATTCTCATGAAGCAACATGAACAAGTTCTATCAAATTCTCATGAAGCAACATGAACAAATTCTACCAAATTCTCATGAAGCAGCATGAACAAGTTCTATCCAATGTCCACAGTTCACCTGGGTACAGCAAACACCATGACACCATTCTCAGCTTTCATTGTGGCACAGGTAAATCTACGCGCTGGTTTGTTGAGATCAAGTGTCAGCTTGAAGCTAAAACAAGATTTTACAGCATACTAGGTCAGCAAATACAACATTAAGTGCTAAATTTGATTTATTTGAAAATTATTCTTCTTTTACTTTTAGCCTATGTAAAATGCATATTTTAAACCTTAAAAATTCTAGGTTGTTGATTTACTAAATAAAAGTAAATTTCCAGTTCAAATTTTAAAATATTGGGTCATTATTTTTTGTTTAAAGTTATGAAGAAAAGAATGTTCTATGAAGATAAAATAAATAGAACTAAAAATCCTTTAAGGGGTCAGAAATAGTAAACACCCTTAAAAAAGCAAGGCTGGGGAACTTACTTTTTGATGACTTTAGCAATGGTTATTTTCATCTCATTCATTGCAAAGTTTTGTCCAATACAGTTTCTACAAACCAAAGAGAAAATGAAAGTTAAACATTGATAAAATTCATAAAATGTATGTAACACAGGCAAAACAAAGAGCGACTTTGAAATCATTATCAGAAAGATTAATAATAAAATCACATTACTGGTATATACATTTTTTAAAGCTTTAGCTTTAAAAAATATTACAAATTTTTCTTTATGCAATATTTATAGAACTAAGATCATTATATTTTCGTTAGCCTAAAACGGAAACACAAACAAAAAAAAAACATTGCAAGTAAATACAAGCTTTGTCCATAAATATTAAAGTTATACCTGGAGCCTGCAGAAAAGGGAAGGAACTGGAAGGGGTCCATGGTCCTTGTTTTATCAGGGTGGAAGCGTTCAGGGCAGAAATCATGGGGTCTGTCCCACAAGTGAGGGTTGTGATGTAAAACAAAAATTTGGACAGCCACCAACGTTCCTAACGGATCAAAAAGTTTTAACATATTGAGGATACTATTTTCAGAGGTATTTATTTTTGTGTGCTGAATAAAAATAAAGTAATTTGTATGACTGTTAGACTCGTAATTTAAAAAGAATATTAGCATGAAAAATGTGTAGAAAGTGTAGCATAAAATTACTAGGATAATGTAATAAGCCAAAGAGATCCCAATGCAAAAATTAGCTAGATCTAAATATAGACAGTTGTTTTTCCTTATTCAAAATTTAAAAAAAAACACAAAGACTACTTAAACTTAGTTATTAGAGGAACCTCTTGCATGAATAATTTTTTAGTTTCAATACAAGTTTTTTTTTAACACTTCAGATGTAAAAAAGTATACATTATTTAGTGAGATATTAAAATGCTGCCGACCTTTGGGTATGGTGTATTCCATTATCTGCGTGTCTTCCTCAAGTTTCCTCTCAATGAAGGGGACAGCAGTGTCCAGTCTTAAACCTTCTTTGATGCACATTGTGGTAAACTCTAGTTTGCTCAGGTCAGACCTGTACAGAGAAAACAAATTTACAACATATAGTCATTTAACCCTTTCCCCGGCAACATATTTGGTACCCTGTCCCCGGCAACTGGGTGGATTACACCCGGACACTTTTTATAATGGGAAATACTATTTCTTCTGATTCCCAGCAACTGGGTGGATCACACCCATAGTCTAATCTCATAGTTAATTGTTTCCCTTTTTCATTGTGGGATGGGTAACAAACGAGACTCAGTTATGTTTGTTCTACATGACGGAGAAATAAGCACATATTCATTAAATTGTTGGTGTGTTGAGGCTTAAGTTTGAATAATGTCCCCCCAGTCCAACCAGATGGGTGTCTGAATAATCTTATATATCATAATAAATATGCAATCTCTTTGTAGCCCATGGCCACAAGAAACAGATGAACTCTATCTACCCACAGTTAGAACTTTGAAAGATATATTACCAGTATCAGATACAAAGATAAAATACTCATACTCTTAGTAACAGTACCTCCTCATACACCATCTCCTGGTACTCTGGGTACTCAGTACACTCACCACTCTAGCTGCTCCCTCCAATCTAGAACACTCAGTACCTCCTCATACACCATCTCCTGGTACTCAGTACACTCACCACTCTAGCTGCTCCCTCCCATCTAGTACACTCAGTACCTCCTCATACACCATCTCCTGGTACTCTGGGTACTCAGTACACTCACCACTCCAGCTGCTCCCTCCCATCTAGTACACTCAGTACCTCCTCATACACCATCTCCTGGTACTTAGTACACTCACCACTCCAGCTGCTCCCTCCCATCTAGTACACTCAGTACCTCCTCATACACCATCTCCTGGTACTCTGGGTACTCAGTACACTCACCACTCCAGCTGCTCTCTCCCATCTAGTACACTCAGTACCTCCTCATACACCATCTCCTGGTACTCAGTACACTCACCACTCTAGCTGCTCCCTCCCATCTAGTACACTCAGTACCTCCTCATACACCATCTCCTGGTACTCTGGGTACTCAGTACACTCACCACTCCAGCTGCTCCCTCCCATCTAGTACACTCAGTACCTCCTCATACACCATCTCCTGGTACTCAGTACACTCACCACTCCAGCTGCTCCCTCCCATCTAGTACACTCAGTACCTCCTCATACACCATCTCCTGGTACTCTGGGTACTCAGTACACTCACCACTCTAGCTGCTCCCTCCCATCTAGTACACTTAGTACCTCCTCATACACCATCTCCTGGTACTCTGGGTACTCAGTACACTCACCACTCCAGCTGCTCCCTCCCATCTAGTACACTCAGTACCTCCTCATACACCATCTCCTGGTACTCTGGGTACTCAGTACACTCACCACTCCAGCTGCTCCCTCCCATCTAGTACACTCAGTACCTCCTCATACACCATCTCCTGGTACTCTGGGTACTCAGTACACTCACCACTCCAGCTACTCCCTCCCATCTAGTACACTCAGTACCTCCTCATACACCATCTCTGGGTACTCAGTACACTCACCACTCCAGCTGCTCCCTCCCATCTAGTACACTCAGTACCTCCTCATACACCATCTCCTGGTACTCTGGGTACTCAGTACACTCACCACTCCAGCTGCTCCCTCCCATCTAGTACACTCAGTACCTCCTCATACACCATCTCCTGGTATTCTGGGTACTCAGTACGCTCACCACTCTCGCTGCTCCCTCCCATCTAGTACACTCAGTACCTCCTCATACACCATCTCTGGGTACTCAGTACACTCACCACTCCAGCTGCTCCCTCCCATCTAGTACCCTCAGTACCTCCTCATACACCATCTCCTGGTACTCTGGGTGTTGGGCTAGCCTGTAGAGTGTCCAGGTCACTCCACTGGCTGTTGTGTCATGTCCTAGAAAAACAGTTTTTCAGCATATAATTCAAATTAAGGATTCAGTGGTAATTGGTTCATTTCGAATTTTAAAAAAGGAAAAGGGTTAAGAAAAAATAAACAATCTACCATTCTGAAATTATTTTTGTTGCCACAATAAACGGTAAATTTCATATAATATACTTAATCAAAACTGTATAATTTTTAATGTTGTATGTGATTAAATCTGTCGAGTTTAACTGTTTTTGACTTGGTGTATTAAAATACTGTACTTAGTCAAATTGTTCTTAGTACAGTATTTTAATGATTTTCAAAATAAAGGCCAAAGGATTATAATAACTTTTAAATGTCCAACTTGCAAACAATATTTTGTATTAGCTTTAAACATGTATGTTTTTTTAATTACTAAAATTAAAAAATCTATAATTGCAGAAATAAATTACAAAATTACCATCAAGCAGATACAATTAAATCTTGAGACCGCAATACGAAGTAGTAATTTTTGCTTAATTTAAAAAGAAATTAAAAAAATTATAAAAAATAAACTTCAAACAAAAAAAATTTAAAAAAGCAAATTGTAAATTAACCTTCAAACAAAAAGGTATCAACTTCATTGCGAATTTCAATGGGAGACAATCCAAAACCATCTTCATCCCTTGCAGTGAGTAAAGTGTCCAGAAAATCTTTGACTTTTTTATTTGTATTTTTTTCATCTTCTTTTTGATTTTCCTAACAATGCTTATAAAATTAGCATCTTTCAAAAAAGTAATCAGTAATTAACACCAATATTCAAATTTTAGATAAACAACGATAAAAATGCAAAAATGACATAACAGTTACTAAAATGATGGGTGTGATTAGTGCAGATCAGGTATAACAAGCTCAAATTATTATTTCTAAAAATTAAACAATTTAAAATAAAATTATGGGTAGACAGATAAAGTAAACGTATAATTTTAAATACAATTTTAACAATTTGATCAGTTAAAAAACAAACCAATTCTTTTCTGCGCTTTTCTATAATATCTTCAGCTACAGCATGTACTTCATCACAGAGCTTGTAAAATTTTTTGCCATCTGATGTTAGCCCATAGATAAACTCATTGAAAACTTGAGGCTTGCTAAAAAAAAATTGATAAAAATTGAAAGCATTCTAAAAATGTGACATTTTAAAAATTCTTTCTGTTTTATCAAATAATATCACATTTTATCAACTATAATCAAATATTTTAGAACTTAAATTTGACGATATCTGCATACAACAATTAAAAAATTAATGATTTGTTAAAATTTGTAGACACTTATTCAGTACATTTAAAATAGCTAATCTAAAAGGAAATATGTATTCAGACATTTTAAAGCAAGAAAACCTGCGTTCTAAAGTCTGCTATAATTTTTAAATAAATATCTAATAATTAAAAAAATAGATCACTCACAAGCTACGATCTGTCCACAATATCATCAGCTGCATCATAGCTGTAGTGTAGGCATTTTTCCTGGAAATTTAGTTTAACAATGTACTATAGAAAAAGTTTTCAAAAAAAAAAAAAAAAAACCAACCAAATAAAAACATAGATATATATAACATTCTTTTATAAATATCTGATCAGCAGGAAACTTTATTTAGAAAAGCTCCAAGTATACGAACGGACCAGAAAAAAAGGATCATATATTTAACATACCCTTTAGTTTGGCAGTAAGACTTGTACGAGAAGGCACATTGGAGAATGACATCTAGGGTGCTCATACAAACTGGTTGAAATAAGTCAAAGGATTCACCACTTTTACTTAGCTCATGAATCTTGCTCTAGAATATTATGAGTCGTTAATTTTTTTGTTATGAATCATTAGTCAGTTTTTTGTTATGAATCATTAGTCAGTTTTTATTCGCAAAGTAGTCAATTATTATTAAATTTTAATTATCAATTATGGAGTTCATTCTGCGTTACGATAAAAATTATTAAAATAAAATAATTATTTTCATTAAACAAATTAATAAATTAGGTATCTGAATTGACTTGGATATGAAACCAACAGCTATGACTACTATGAGGGACAAAAAATTCAGTCTGGAGTTTTAATGAGTGAATGTTTGGTTATGTAATAATGTATTTACAAAGTGTCTTCAGGCAGTTCAATGAAAAGTAAATATAGTTATCACTTAAAGTTTAACCCGCCTTTACAACTTAAAAATATAATTAGTTTAATTTAAGGTGAAGATGGTCCAGAATTAAAGCTTATACATGATTAACCACCTTTACAATTTATTATATTTTTTTGTCAAAATTGTAAAAAAATAATACAGATCTACTCCTGTCTAAGTAAGCCCATGACATGAATTTCTAATTAATATTTTGATATAATAATTCATTTCAGACTTTATAAACTTAAGTTCTTTTTTTCTCATTAGATAGGATAATGAATGGTGGTGGTGATAAGGGTGGAGTTGAATTTGCTAGGCTATTACATGTTAACACTAAAAATTAAAATTAAGCCCTGAAAAAAGTTTATTAGACTCACAACAAGAGTATCCGTGCATTGGTTATAAACATCAACATATGGCTTTAAGATATCAAAATGGAATGCTGGTGTGAGCAGGCGTCTGTTCCTGGCCCATTTAGCACCATTGGCAATAAGTAGGCCCTCGCCCAACCAACGTACACCCATGTCGTAGGGTGTGGCAAACAACGTATCCCTTGGTTTTGGAGCTACATAACAAGATGATGGTTCAGAGAATTAAAGTATAATAAATATAAAAAATGAAAGTATTATTTCAGGTCTTAAAAAATGAAAAATAAATAGAATTCCATGTAAATAGTACGTTCATAATCAAATAAAGATCAAGATAAAAATAAATTATTTTTACAAATAAATAGACTAGGAATTTGTAAGTATAAATTAAATAGTGACTAAAATTTTATAAAATTGACTATTGTACAAATTATTTCACTTTTTTTTAGGTTGTTGTGCTTTTACCTAGCCCATAAACATAGTAAAGGTAGGCTGAAAGTCATAGAAAAAGAAAACAGATGGAGTGTAAGGCATCATTGTAAGTAGTATGATTAAACTTGTATTGTTCAGTATGTGCCTTTACAGTAAAAACACTAAGAGATAACCAGATAAATATTTGTACACCTTCATCAACAATTATTTTCTTCTCACCTGAGGATTTCAGAATTGGTCTGACAGATTCAGGGTGGTATACCAAAATTACAGGAGTGAATGCCCCTGCCCAAATGCGATGGAAGTATTTTGTCTCTGTACACATCTTGAAGTCATACTCAATCCCTTCCTCATTAGGACCTGGATACTAGTTGTATATGCCAAAAATTATTTTACAAATTAGAAGCAAGCAAACTATCATAGAATTAGAATATTTATTAAAAAACATTCCCTTTCTGACCTAGCTGCCCACAGGGCATATGAAGCGATAATGTGGTCAGCACTATGCTCAGCTACCTTTACTTTGCACAGCGTAAGTCAGGTACCCATCAGAGTTGAGTGGACTCAAGGACATGCTAGAACTCTAGCCAGGGACCAGAACTTGAGACTTTTGGACTGGAAGTTTAACACAATTTTTTTTAGCTTCAGCTCAATTTTTTCAAAAATAGAGTATGGCTAATGTACAAAAACATATATTTGGTTCATATCAACTATAATTATATAGCCCCTATGCTGACTGTGCTTAATCCGCTGAGTTGTTTCAATTACATAAATAGAGAATAGCTTGAAAGGTAATTATTTATTGTTACATTTATTGTTATGATTTTTGATGTACATAAAATATGTGTTAGTGTTTGGTATGAGTTAATTAATGAGTTAATTAAAGTGTTTGATTAACAACTAACACATATTTATCAAAGCAAATGAACAAAAGAATTTTATGCCTAAACATTTTTTTTAATTGATAATATTCATAACCATAAACTCACTTGGAGATAATACTGAACTATTACCTTATGCAAATTGCCATACAAGTAACTGAAGTCTTTTTCTCCTGGAAATTTGTTGAAAAAAGCTCTGAAAGCCAAATATTTTCTGCCATATTTCCACAGGCAAAAAGTGGCCAGGATAAACAGTAGAGTTAAACCAATCATCTTTCAGCTCTGAGTGGCAACTAGCTGGTACTATATATTAAATGGAGAAAATGTTCATTTTTTCAAAATATATTTAATTATAATCATTGTTTGATTTATAACATTTATTACAAGCTTTTATTTAGTTCGCAACATCTGTTTGTTTGGGGGTTTGTGGCAAATTCTGTAAGTCAATTCTGACCCACTTCGAACGCAGCGATTTTCTTCAAACTTTCCATATACGTTACATTTTGATGGCAATCAGTATTTCTTCCAGACTTTTTTCTCCGGGACGCACTTGAAATTTTCGGGGGGGGGGGGGGGGGGGGGGCAAACACTGTTAAAAGTATATATCTTCTATATAAATTATATAAATTTCATTTCGTTCAGGGGGGGGGGGCGGTAAATTTTTTCCGGGGGGGGGGGGGGGCGAAGAGATACCTGGAGCCTGGAAGAAACTCTGATGGCAATACGTCTATCTATTTTTAAATTTAATTAGATGTTTGATTAGTCATTAAAAATTAATTAAATAATTTCAAACCTAAGGGGAGATAACAAAATTAGATCACTCAAAGGATTACTATATTCAATAATAGAAGGGGAGATAACTAGTTAGATGCAATTACCCTAACAGTCTAGTGAGCTGTGATTCATTAGAATGTTTACAACTGTAGAGCCGGTCGATCTAGTAAAGGCTATTAGGTGTAGGTAATATAGTAAAAAAGTAAAGTTTCCCTTTCATACCTGACGGTCTATGGGGCAAGTGAAGTAGAGTTCACCTGTTTCTGTGACCTCGGCATATGAAGAGATAGTGTGATCAGCACTATGCCCAACCGCCTTTACTTTCCCTAACGTGAGTTAGGTACCCATCTGAGTTGGGTGGACTCAGGGACGGTACAATCTCTACCGCTAGACCACTCCGTCCCAGGTAGGTAATATAGTTTTAAAATAATTTGAAACTAAGGCAGGTATCAAGATTAAGAACTATCCTTCTCTATATAAGCTTGCTGTTATCTGTAAATTGTGGCCATGGATTGCTGCGTTTCAAGGAGCAAATAATCATGTTCTAGATCTCGAACTACCAATGGTGTTTTAAAGCAAATAATTTTAGTCATGTAGACTTCATAAATTTGGAATCACAAAAAAGTAGAAAATAAAACAAATATAATTAAACATTTATAGCAAAAAGCTTTTAAATGCACTGAAAATAAAAAAAAATCGTGAGATTACAGTATTTGTACTTGCACCTAATAATAAAACATAATAATATATATATAATTATATAGGCCCTAAATAATATTAATATAGATCTATACAAAAATAAATAATATATAATTTAGTAGTGTTTCATTTTATAAACCTTTTATAAAAAGTTATGATCTGAATAGTAGTAGACTAAATTAGTAGAGTAGATTTCAGTAGCAGTAGATCCATTCAATATGCCGAATATGTGCATGTGGCATCTGTGACAATATGTGAGAAAATTGCAAGGTAAGGTATGCATAATAATTAATAATACATAATAATTATATTTAGATTCTATATCTAGGCCAGTCTCTTACTATACTAGTAACTATAGGGGACTGTAGCCTAATTAATTAAATAGCCAACTAATTTTAATCTGTTAAGTAAAAATTCATTATTCATTTAATAATAGGCCTAATAATAAATATTTAAATATAGGCCTAGATCTAGTTTAGTTTAATATAAACTAGAATCTAGTTAATTATTTATTATAGGCCTATTGCCTATTAATTTATTAAATAATAGATAGACTATTATTAACTATTTATTATAGTCACTATCTATACTTCTATAGTCCATAGTGAACATAGATATTGTTATAGATAGGCTGAGTATACTATAGTGACTGTTACTATAGATAGGTATAGAGTAAAGTATAGTAGAGTACTATAGACCAAGAGAAATAGAGTATAGAGTATACAAAACATACTAGATTCTAAATACTACATAGCATAGGCAGCATAGGCCCATGCCGTAGCTACTTACTACTTAGTACTAGATTCTACTACTTAGCTAGGGCCTACATTTAATTTTTAAACTTTGATATTTTATTTATTTAAATTTAAGGCAGGTGATTCCATTTCATTAATTATTATTCAACTATTGTGGTATTAACAATAAGCCTACATACTATTACATTAAATTAATATAATTAGGCCTATCTTAATAGTATTTAATATTTATGTAAGTACAAGTTAGTGCAAAATTACAATGTGAACTTTGAACCCAATGAACTAGTTTTGATCCAGTTTTAAGACGTTACTCGGAAATATACGTCGTGGCCTTGGCAGTAAAAAGCAGTCTTGAGCGGTTTAAAACTACACTGTTAAAATTGTGTTAAAAGCATTAAAAGTAAAGAATAGTTACGACATAAGACTCGCAAACAATGTAGCTGATAGTTAGGCTAACACTAAATAATATTGGATTGAATGAAATAAAACCAAACAATGTAGATTTTCAGAAAAATATATAGATCTAGCACCAGAGTGACATAGGCCTACCTTCAGTGTTCCCTCTAAGCTGCGCGGCTGCGCGGCCGCGCAGTACTTTCAAATACGCCGCGCAGACATTTTCTGACCCCGCGCACAGATTATCAGAACGTCGGGCGAGACTAATTCACCAGAAAAATTGTGGCCAGTGGTTTGAATAAAGCGACATTTTTAGTGCCTGTTTTGTTAAACGAACAGTCTTTATGTTTTGGGGTATAAACAGAAACCATGGTATCACTGACTGGGGGGAGGGAGTAACCTCGGTTGTCATAGCACAGGTCTAGTTTATGACTTAACTCTCACCTGAGCGGGGCTGTGTGACACTCCCATTGCTTGATTTAATGGTTTACCCAAAAACTGACCCGAGCTGACATCTAATACCTGCATTGTATTGTGACTTGAAGCTGACCCTGCAAGTTTTTTTTTAATCGTCGCTTGACCCCCCCCCCCCCCCCCCCCCCCTCATCTTGAAACTTTGACGATTAAGCCAAGTCAGATGCAAGGTTTACTTTACTTAAGGTGGATGTTTTTGCTCTGTTTGGTTTAAAGATTTATATATTATATATCTGATTCTTGGGATTATTACGTGCATGTGGATCAAAATGTTTTAGTATGCACACACTGCTTTGGTAAATCAGCAATAAATGTCCACTACTGTGTGCTATTTAAAAATGTTCAGGAAAAAATGTGTGTAACAAGCAGTACAACAATGTGGCGCTTGACTACTGAAAACGTCATTTATTGTCTCGTGTTTACGTAGGAAATGTTGCGATTTTGTACAACAGCTCACATGGAACTGACCTAAAATGTCTGCTGGTTGAAACTTACACTGAGCGATGAAAACTAATTGAGCAAAACGAGCGCCAGCGGTCAAACAAGGATCAAGTTCGAATCCTAACGGATAATGTTCTTCTTACCATAAGGATGAACGCCTTGATGCTGTCGGTACAACTGATTCATAACCGCATGTGGAAGTATGTTTCTATACCAATCAGTTGGCGAAGTAAGAAATACGCCTTTGAGTTTGTTCAAGTAATCAACGATGTTGTTGTAAAGAACATACTGACAGAACATCGAGCAGCATCATTCCACACGTTTATAGTTGATGGCATAACAGTACATAAAATGCTAATCCTTTATTTTAAATTTCGTCCAATCAATTCTGTATTCTACAAAACCGTTTTTAGTGGAATAACTCAGCCTACTGTAAGTGATGCCTTAGCTCTGGAGACAGCCGTAACACAGCACTACACTGAACATTAAAACCAAGAAAAGTGTGAGTTAAACGAAAGAATCGACACAAGGCAAACCACACAGTACATACAATCAGTCTGCGACCATTTAAATGTTAGGTTTCCAGGAGATGAACTGTAGTTTTGGTCATCTTTTTTATGCTACAGGTTTAAAAAAATTTGCATTTGAGTTTGGCGTCAAAGATATCAAAGAACTGTGCGTAAAGTACAAAGACGGGTTACGTACAACAAATGATCAGTTAATTACCACCCAATACAATGACTTCAAATTTCGATAAAGTGAAAAACTCAAATCTGTTTCTGTAAACTATATGTCTGAATATGCAAGATTTGTAAAAACAAAGAACAATTTAGCTCACTGGCAAAGTTAGGTGACATTATTGTACCTTCCAAGCATGCAGTGCTGATTACGAACAAGGTTTTAGCCTTATTAACATAATAAAAGTGCAAGAACGAAATAGACTTGAAGCCACACATTTGGAGAATCTAATGCAAATTAAATTATATCTAAATGCTGGAGAGGATGTGGATTTAAACAAAGCATATAAGGTGTGGAAGCAAGGCAAGGTTAGACGCGAGAAATTGCAATAAATGCCCCTGAAAGGTTAGATAATATTTGTTTTTAAGTCAGCTTTATTAAATGTTGCATATGTTAAACTATTGTGTTTGTATTACCGTTATGGTATTAGCATTATTACCATATGACTGTCTTACTTTAACATAGTAAGTCGACCATATAACTTGTTGTCTAAGTATAACTCTGAAAGTTTTTATTAGTTGTTTTTTTTATTTTGATGGTATTCGTATCTCCATTTAATTGCATACGTTTCATTAGTCACACACATTATACTATTAATTTATCAAAATGCATGCCTTCATTATTATGCTTAATTGCAAGACTAAAAATACATATTAACTTGCCCAAGTCATTTTTAGCACCGCGCACACTACATATTTTTTGCACACACACTCTTGGTCCTTAGAGGGAACATTGCCTACCTTGGGGCTGTAATGAGAGCGATGCCAGGAGTTTTTTCCCCACAACAATTGTTTTTGTGTTATTTTCATTAGGCATTAGGTCTATTATTTTTATTATTTGTAATATTGCTAGTAACAGTAATTCTCGTATTGTTTTTATTATTATTATTATTATTAAATGCGCCCTTTCTTAAATATTAAGACTGTTGGAATAATAAGTAATTTATTTAGCCCAAATATTTAATTTAATAAGCTCTAACCAAATTAAAGCCTAAAGCTGTAACTGAATATTAAAATATTTGTATATTGGAGATGTAGTTCTATGTTTAAGTTATTAAAAGGGTAATTATTTGTTCGTAACTAAGACACCAAACAAATCATGCAAGGCTCATGTTTGATTTTGGTATGGATTCATCAGCCATTAGCATTATGAGTTCAAAATAGCGTGGATTATGAATATAAACAACTGGATGGGAGTTTTTTTTTTTTACATAAAATATAACATTAAATGAGATTAAAACTGTGAATTTATACTGGATCCATAAACATGTTTTTTATTGCTCTGTTCTTGACGGGGGGACATTTGTTTAAGGGGAGGTAATGCAATTAATTAGAACAATTTTAAAAAATGTATGAATTACCTCTCTTATAAAGTAATCTGTAAATTTAGAAGAAAAAAAAACCTACTTTATATTAACATTTTACTCTTAATATTTTTGCATATTCGACCCCCCCCCCCCCCCCACCCCCAACGCTCTCAAATATTTTTGGGTGCACTTTTAACAAGCTAATTAAATTTATTCCAGCAGTTCAAGAGGAATAATCGGCAGTCATTCAACAAAATGTGCCAAGGAATGTGACATCATGAAGATGTGTGACGATCGGAAAGGAAGGGGTTAAATCTTTATTTAAAAAGCTTGACGTTGTTTATTGATGATCCGTTTAATTATAGTTTACCGTGGCATACGTAGATAGGAATTCTACACAAATACCAGCTATGGGGGACGGGGGGTTGGCATGTAATTAGTAATTGTGATTTATTTACTTTGTTCTAAGAGCCGATCTATAACCACAATGCAGATATTATTCAGTTTCGATACCATGTTCAGAATATTTTTTGACAGAGATATAAAAAAAGTTTGGTTAAATTGAAAACTATTTGGTTTTATTCAAGTGACAATGATGGGAAGCTTGCACACAAGAAAGATATCTTTCATTTCGTACTTGCCATTAAAGTCTAATGTACATTAAATGTGTACATTAAATGTTGTACATTAAATGTTGTACATTAAATGTTGTACATCAAATGTTGTACATTACATGTTGTACATTAAATGTTGTACATTAAATGTTGTACATTAAATGTTGTACATTAAATGTTATACATCAAAAGTTGTACATTAAAATTAATGTTGTACATCAAATGTGTACATCAAATGTGTACATTAAATTGTGTACATTAAATTGTGTACATTAAATGTTGTACATTAACTGTTGTACATTAAATGTTGTACATTAACTGTTGTACATTATTTGACTGATAATTTTTGTTTTGGTTCCTCCAAATTTTAACGTGTGTGAATGTTAAAAAATATCTGTTATCACTTTTATAATGTTATGAGTGTATCGTTAAATAAGGCCGACTGGGTAAATTTCACGCTTCACATTTTACCTTGATTGGTAGTAGTGAGTTGCCTAGTTGAGGGGTCATCTCGTACAACCTACATACCACACCAACTTTCTCCCACATCACCTTCTGCCCTTGTAACCACTACCCCATCACCATCTCTAGAACATGGTGAGGCTATACTACGTTGATTTAAACATTCTCCAGCTGATTTACTAGACTCGCGACATTTTCAATCTTTAAAAACATAAATACAAATATTTAATATAAAATAAATGAAAACGAAATTAGTTTCACCCATATAATAACAATATTCTCGACAGTTTATTTCGACACTGATTTGGACACAAACCCTAGGCAGTAAGCGATCCACTTCCTCAATAGACCAGGCTGAAGGGAAACGACAGGTAATCAATTAGCTGCCCCTAACCTATCAATCAGATCAGGGAAGGTTTTAGCCACTGGCTTGAAAGTAATTAACGCAGGAACGTCCAGTATCTACCAAACCTCAAACAACATTTGAGGGAAAAGTTAACTATAGATATTGATAGAACGGTTGGACAATTTAGAAAAATAAATAAAATACGACTTTTTTCATTAAAAAAAATCATCAATTTAATTATTGTTTTAGGTAAGTCAAGTTTGAAACCTGACGGTCTATTTGGGCAAGTAAAGTAGATGTCACTTATTTCTATAACCTCGACATTTGAAGGGTTAGTATGGTGAGCATTATGCCAAGGCGCCTTTATTTCACCCGACGTGAGTCAGGTACCCATCAGAGCTGGGTGGACTTGGGGACGTTAACACACTCGAGCAGAGACCACTGTTATGTCTAAACCTCCCCCTTCCTACCCCAAGGAAAATAATCTGAAAGAAATAATACTCGAGACTTTCCGGTTATCAATCGTATGGTTTACCATTCGACATGGCCGTCTACCCTTGTTTCAGGTACCCCCCCCCCCCCATTCATCTTTTACATTCCATCCCATGTTGCAATAAGCTCGCTACACAAGCTCTAATCTAGCCTTTTTAATTGGAGGGCACTTGATCATTTAATATACAAATTTATTTAATTACAAACATACAACCAGAGTCTTGAGTGTTAATCCTCAGCATCATTTAACAAGAATCTTACAAATATTTTTGGTTAATTGTAAGGTTGTGAGCTGGAATAAAAAAAATTAAACAAATAAAATAAAAAATAAATATTAACCAAAGAAAAAAAAAAGACTCCACTATATATTTGTATCGTGCTTAATGATGCAGTATTTTTCTTAAAAAAATGCAACAGTTCTGTGAGTGGGAGTGTGAGAGTGTCGTCTGCTATGTTGAAGCATCGGAGTCACGCATCACACTCGCATGTGAAAGTACACCAGGATATCCTAATGAGTTACCGGCCCTGTTGAAGGGAAGCTAATCCTGCAGGCGGTTTCACTCATCATGTAACGAAGACCGCTAGTTACTTCCCTTGGGCTGACCCCCTCTCCCCATTAAGGATTAAATAATTTCGCCCGTCCCTTCATCACGTGCTGGTCCAGTGACGTCACGCCGACCGTACGTAACGTCCGTGTGTGACTCAGGCTTGGTGGTTTGGTGATTATTAACACGGCTCTGTGTCGGCTCGTGTCATTGGTCTAGCCTGCCTAGGTTCAGCCAATCAGTGATCATTTCTATTGTCGCTTTCAGGAGTAAAACTGTTTTTACTCCCACTGATTAAATAACAACCAATCTTCAAAGCGGCAATTTAGTTTTAACTGTAAATATTTAGTTGTAATAAAGTTTCAAAAGAATATTTTAGTATAAAACAATTTTTAAAAAATATATATATATATATTTACCTACGTGTTTTGACCAAGGATAATTACTTTAACAAAGATAGAAGCTTTAAACACAAAGATGAACAGACTTTACATTGTTGGTATTTTCGCTTTGATTGGTAAGTTGCGACATGATTTTTAATTTTCTGGTAATTTTTCTGGTTGATTAATGGTAGGGAGAGGTCACTGTGTCAGACAGCCTGTGTGACCACGAGGAACTAAATACACGCTCGTAAAACTCATGAATAAAACATTTGAGTATATGGAGATACCCTTGAAATACCTTAATGTAAGAATTTTTTCAGAACAGACGTTCTAGAGGATCGATGCATTTTAGTTTATTTTTAGTTAATCTCAAATGACCTCGGCATTTGAGGTGTGGTCAGAGCTATGACTCTTTCAACATTCCTTTTCCTGGTCAGGTACCCAATTCTAGCTGTGTGGACTCTGTCCGGGACCTAACCTGAGACTCAGGGTTAGCAAACCGTGGTTTTACCTCACGCCCACGCCGTTTAACTTTACATCAAATTACTTTTAATGAAATTCAAATTTGAAAATGGTCGTCCCCACGTTGAGTCATCTGATCCTAATCACGTACCCCCACCCCCTAATTGGAAATAAACTTACAGACGGCCATGAGCATACCATTTAAATTGATATATCATAAGACAATCTATTGTAAAAGGAACACCGCCAAAAAAAAAAGTTCAACAGTTAATGTTGCGACAACAAGGCTTCGTCCGAAAAAGAAAGGCAATAACAAAATGCAATTATAAAATAATATTTAGAAATAATATGTTTTACTAAGGTCAACACGAATAATAAAAATTAATTGAATTGATAATGGGGAATTGTATAAAGAACGCTTGTTAATAACTATGTGATAGTGTTTTATTAATAATAAGTCATATAACAATCATTCTTTAAAATGCGAAAGTTTACATATTTTACGCTAAACAAGAAACGGTAATATTATCTTTACCACTATGATTTTTCTAAGAGCATAAGGTTAGTAATTATATTTCTACAGCGAAGCGTTTTTAAACGGAAAACAAGTAGACCAAGTTTGTCAATAACTTGAGAGTAACTGTAACATTCTTTTAACGCGATAATCCGCGTGTACTAGTCGCGGTCACGTTGAAAAGTCACTCCGCTGGTTTAAACAACATAAACTAACGAAACAATTGAGTGACCGCTGGACAAACACATTGGCGATGTTTTTGTTTGTTTCTATTTTTGTCCAGGTTTTTATGAAAATGTCAGTGACAAGACCTATGTGCGTTTTGCGAATTACAAAACGAAAATGAACACAGGACTACACTTTTGGTGAAAAATAAAATTGTTTTGATCAACGTTAGAGTTTGTACTTTTCCAATAGAGTTTGTACTTATCAAAGCATCTGTTAAAATTCTTACATTAACCATAAAAAAAACAATGATGCGGTTAGTTTAGGAGGTGTTTTGGATAAGATTTGTATATGTTTTCAGCTTAATGTTCCGCAATCGACGCACAAGTGAGTCTTTTAATGATACGACCATTGAAAATGTGCGAAACTGAACACAGTAATAACAATGGTTAAAAGTTCAAAAGAACACTTAATTGGAAAACTCTAGATAATTTACTTGATTTCTAGTTTCTAATGTTTAAAATTAACTAAAGAGCTGCAATCGATAGTATTGCGATTTTATAAAATTACAATTAAGGAAAAAAAAATGTCACCATTTGTGGGCCTCCATTTCTTTTGTTGATTGGGGGGGGGGGGGTGGCTAGGCCCCATATAATAGAAACAGCCCATTTTATCTGTTAACGAATAACAGCCTGTATTGCGATGAGCTACAATAAAACATTGTCCACTCATAGCGAATTGTACTAAATGTGTTTCCTTTAAAATTATCAGTAACTTAATAAACAGCCAAGGCAATTTTAAAATTTGATTTTTTAATTTCATCTTTTTATAAGCAGAAAAAAATGGAATTCATAAAAAACGTAAATATTTTCACTTTCAAAATTTATACTCCTTTTTTAGCCCTGGCCTTGAACTTTTCCTCCCTGACCTTCGCCCAACAACAACAACCCGCCGCCAACCAGCAGTGCAGCAGCCAGTTCGAGGCAACCATCGGACCAACCTGCTTTGATGCCAACGGCGTCAACTTTTCCGGCATTATCTTCATCATCAGCCAGAACCGCACGGGGGCGATTCCATCCGGACATACGCTGGAGACATTTCTCAAACTGATTTGTGGGTCAGTGGCCGGTCATTGGTGTGTGGGGGGCATTTGTGTGGGAGTGTGGTGGGTTAATGTTGTGTGGGAAACATTTGTGTGGGAGTGTGGTGGGTTAATGTTGTGTGGGGAACATTTGTGTGGGGGTGTGGTGGGTTACTGTTGTGGGGGGAACATTTGTGTGGGGATGTGGTGGGTCACTTTTGGGGGGGGGGGGGGTCAATGGTGTGAGTGAGTAGTGGGTCAATGTTTTGTGGGTCTGTCTTTTGTGGATGTGTGGTGGGTGACTTGTGTGTGTGTGAGTGGTGGGTAACTGTTGTGTGGGTGTGTGGTGGGTCACTGTTGCGTGGCGAGCATTTGTGTGTATGGTGGGTCACTGCTGTGTGTGTGTGGGGGGCAATTGTGTGGGTAGGTGGCGTGTCAATGTTTTGTGGGTCTGTCTTTTGTGGGTGTGTGGTGGGTCACTTTTGTGTGTGAGAGTGGTGGGTAACTGTTGTGTGGGTGTGTGGTGGGTCGCTGCTGTGTGGGGACTGGTGTGGGTAGGTGATGGGTCACTGTTATGCGGGTCAGTGGTGGGTCACTTCTGTGTGGGTCTCATTTTTACTGTAGATTAATAGACGGTCATTTAAAAATCGATGTGTCAGAATCCAAACCTAATATGCGACTCATTACTTAAAATTTATTTTTACGGAAGATATATTGAGCTGTGTCATGCACATTAACAAAAGTTCTGTAATGTGTATGACGTATTTAAAAAAAATTGTCGACAAACATTTGCTATCAGAGTTTCTTCCAGGCATCTCTTCGGGGGTGGGGGGGGGGTGTGGAAACACTGCCCCCCCTCCCGTAAAAATGTCTACGCCCCCCCCCCTCACCCCCAACGAAATGGAATTTATATAGAAAACATACTTTTACCAGTGTCTGCACCCGCCCCCCTCCCCGGAAAATGTTGCCCGCCCCTCTCCCCCCCCCCCCCCAAAATATCAAGTGCCCCCGGAGAAAAAAAGTCTGGAATAAACACTGTTTACTATCCCCTTTAATGTATCATCAGTTATTATTTATGTTCAACAAATAGGTTTTTACTATCTTCGTCATTACATGAATGCACTTTTCCAATACGATTTTAGTAAACTTGAGCCTTAATAACTAGTAGTGTGCGACTTACCTGACCTGCCCCACCACCACCTTTCACTTCCACAGACCGAGCACCCAAGACAAGGTGGTGCCATGCATCCAGCAGCAGATGCAGAAATACAACAGCACACCGCAGTGTACAGCTGAGGACAAGAACGGCGTCATGGGCAGGGCAGGTCAACTACTGGCTCTCATGGAAGGGGCGTGCGGATCTCGTGAGTAACTTTTTTGTCATGTATGGTGCTGTTTTCGTGTGCATATCGTGAGTAATTTTGTTGTCCTGTATGGTGCTGTTTTCGTGTGCATATCGTGAGTAACATTGTTGTCATGTACGGTGCTGGTTTCATATGCATATCGTGAGTAACATTGTTGACCTACTAGCTGACGGTTTCTTGTGAGAATGGGGTGTTAGACGGAAAGGGTTAGAATATATAGGGGACCGGTTAGTTGTGGTGGCTTATTTTGGCTAACTTTGAATGGAGGATACTGTTTATATAACGGGCTTGCGTATAGCATAACCGCAATAATTTATGTTGCTTAGAAGTCTCCACTCGGCTTTATTGTTTAACGACAAAAATATTTCTATTTATACACATACGAATTTCGTAAAATAAAATAAAAAAATAAATTCAACAAATTGGGAAAAGATTTGTTAAATTTTTATTGTTCTCCACTTTTCGCAAGATATTTTTCCCAAAATAAAAATATTTCGGTATGGGTGATTGGAGTGGGGTGCCATGTTCCCAATGCACCCCCTAGATTCGCCATTGACCACCATTAACTGTTTGCGTCATTGACCACCAGCCTGCGAGGCCGCCGCTACCCAGAGCTTGGTCCAGTGCTATGCTGCCATCAACGTCAACCCCGAGCCCATCCTTTCCCCCAACGCTTCCATTGTGGAGGACAAGTTCTCTGTGATCGGAGGCAACGAATCGGAATACAGCAACTTCTGCAAGTAAGTGCTTTTGTCAGTGTAAGTTAACAACGTTTCGGAGTATATTAATAATTATGCCGTCACAGTATATAAATTATGTATGTTTTGGCAAGTAAGTGCTTTTGTCAGTGTAAGTTAACAACGTTTCGGAGTATATTAATAATTATGCCGTCACAGTATATAAATTATGTATGTTTTGGCAAGTAAGTGCTTTTGTCAGTGTAAGTTAACAACGTTTCGGAGTATATTAATAATTATGCCGTCACAGTATATAAATTATGTATGTTTTGGCAAGTAAGTGCTTTTCTCAGTGTAAATTAACAACGTTTCGTAGTATATTAATAATTATGCTGTCACAGTTTATAAATGACGAATTTATTGGCCTAATTTCGACACCTTCCCCCCCCCCCCACCCATCGCCACACTTCAGCCTGCCCCCCCCCCCCCCCCCCCCACACACACACACACAAGTTTAAGATAATTATTCTACATTGAATAAATCACTAGTCAATACTCAACATTTACGTGTTCGAAAAATCATATCAATATTGGGAATAGAGATCAGTTGTTTTTTTTAAATTTCACTTAGTGAGGAAAGGTCGTTTTAAAATACGAATAACCATCTATGATTCAGTTCAAAAATACGTTTAAAATGTAAATTCTGAAGCATCCTGTCTAAATGACATCGACGCCTTTTATGGATATCCATAGGTAGACAATTAATCCAATTACAGAAACACCTGCATTTTATAGAATTCTTCGTTTTAGATGTTAATTTTTTTAAAACGAACGTCATTGTTTAAAGATATAAACAAAAAACAAAGTAATTAAAAAGTCTAGTGACAATTTTAGCTCAATTTCCTTATGTTATCTAAAAATAGCTCTGTCGTAGCGTAAATCAAGAGCAGGGTTAGTAAAACCATTGGTTAGTTATTAAAACGTTTTTTATTAAGTTTTTTCCAGTATTTTACATGTTTTATTTACAATAGAGTTACATGACTAAAAACCATTGCGCGCCTAGCTACCGAACGTGATGTCGCAGCCATTGAACGTGATGGCGCAGCTATTGAACGTGATGACGCGTGTGGTGTTGTTGGATAAAAATGCCTACTAATTCGGTCCAAATTTTAATTAAGTCAAAAAATTTTTTGTAACCAAACAAAAGGATATTTTTGAAAACTTTCTTCGGCAATATTGTTCTAAATTATGGCAGGAATCGATTGGTACATGTTTCAAGTCGCTAAGTGGTCTGGTTGCCGAGATATGGTGCAAAAACTGCATTTTTTCGAGTTTTTCTCGCTTTTCCGGGAAATCCATGAAAGAAACCCGGAATTTTTATGGCCTATGTTCATCCTCGTAACTTGCTTAACATAATTGCTTTTGAAACTAGTCCTCGATATTGCTTCGTTGAGGAGGAGATACGACTTAAAGCTGCGGATACACATTCATTCATTCATCCATCCATTCATCCATCCAGAAATGACGGGTTAATAAACGCAATTCTCCAGAATGGAAATTGCGCTAACCACTCTTGTATTTAGTGAATTAAAAAAACTCTTGTTTTTCCTTCCTCGTATAGGCTACAGAGTATTGAGAAAGTATTGTAATGGTGCACAAAAATCACATGAAATTTTTGACAGTTTTCACCGTTTTCCACCTCAGTCCTTCATCACATACAGAGTATAGAGGACTTATTTTAATCGGGCAAAAATTCTAAATCCAGAATTATTAAAATTTCGGCGTTTTTCGCGTAATCGAGTCGGAAAAACTGGACTTTGCAATTCTGTCCGGATGTGTGGATGTGTGTCTCTAAACACGATAACTTGAGTACCATTACAGCTAGGTTGATGAAATTTCATATAATAGTATTATATCAAATTTGTAGATCCGTATCAACTTTTGTATTTTCTAGAAATAGACAAAAGTTATTTTCCTGCTTGAGTCCAATCACCGCCACATGTCCGGCACTCCTGGAACGTCTGTACGCCATCGGCATCGACCTGAACGCCATGGAGGGAGCCAGTGCCGTGCTGTGCCAGGACAAGGACAGTAAGTCCAGGGTTTGGTACCAGCACAGTCTCTATAGGTACCATCACAGTCCCTTTTGGTACCATCACAGTCCCTTTTGGTACCATCACAGTCCCTTTTGGTACCATCACAGTCCCTTTTGGTACCATCACAGTCCCTTTTGGTACTATCACAGTCCTTGTTGGTACCATCACAGTCCTTGTTGGTACCATCACAGTCCCTTTTGGTATCATCACAGTCCTTGTTGGTACCATCACAGTCCTTGTTGGTACCATCACAGTCCCTTTTGGTAACATCACAGTCCCTTTTGGTACCATCACAGTCCCTTTTGGTACCATCACAGTCCCTTTTGGTACCATCACAGTCCCTTTTGGTACCATCACAGTCCTCTTTTGGTACTATCACAGTCCTTGTTGGTACCATCACAGTCCTTGTTGGTACCATCACAGTCCTTGTTGGTACCATCACAGTCCCTTTTGGTACCATCACAGTCCCTTTTGGTACCATCACAGTCCCTTTGGTACCATCACAGTCCCTTTTGGTACCATCACAGTCCTTGTTGGTACTATCACGGTCCTTATTGGAAACATCCCAGTCCCAATAGGTACCATCACAGTCCCTTTTGGTACCATCACAGTCCTTGTTGGTACCGTCACAGGCCCTTTTGGTACCAACCCAGTCCCTATAGGTACCATCACAGTCCCTATAGGTACCAGCACAGTCTAGCATCACAGTCCCTTTTGGTACCATCACTGTCCCTTTTTGCATAATCACAGTCCCTTTGGTGCCATCACAGTCCTTATTCGTGCCATCACAGTGCCTTTTGGTACCATCACAGTCCCTTTTGGTACCATCGCAGTACCTTTTAGTACCATCACGGTCGTTATTGGTACCATCACAATCCCTGTTGGTACCATCACAGTCCTCTTTGGTACAATCACAGTCCCTTTAGGTACCATCACATTCTCTATTAGGACTATCACAGTCCATACAAGACTTCTTTTCGGGGGAGTGGTAGGGGTGGAGGCACTGCCTCTGCAGCAGATTTACAATCGTCCACACCCTCCCTGGACGAAAAGGAAAATATATTTTTATATGAAAAGTGTATACTTTGACCAGTGTCCCACCCTCCGAAAATGTAAGTGCTTTATCCTTTAGTTGTAAGTGCCCCCCAACACCCCCCCCCCCCCTCCCCTGGAGATAAATGCTTAAAAGAAACAATTGTCGCTATGTGAAAAATACTTTTAAAATACGGTACTTAGACCATAGAAAGGACAGCATCAGTGAGCATTGGTACTTAAAGTAGCCTTATAAAGAAAGCACGATCCTTGTTGTACTTCCATTAGTGAATTATATATTTTTTTATAATATAGAAATTACTAAAAAAAAAAACCCAGAAAGTGCCCATTTAAAGTTCCAATACGTTTATAAAATTCAGTAAATATATTATTTTATTCTTAGAATAGCATATTCAAAATATGAGTAGCAATATGAAATACATCGAATTTAATATAATACAATGTTAACACTTTAATTTACCATCACATGTACAAATAATGAATATGTGCCTATAGAGAAATATATGTCTACATTTTTCTTGTCTATGCACCCAGAATACCTGAAGGGCTTAGCCTGTTTTGCCACCCCCTCCAACGCCATCACCCAATGTAACCAGCAGACCATGACCAACATGAGACAAGTTCTGATTGGCCGCTACCAGACTGGGGCCGTCCCACCTTCCAAGTATCAGAACTCTCTGTGCGAGTAAGTTCACGTCTCATTTACATAAGTCAGCACCTTCCAAGTATCAGAACTCTCTGTACGAGTAAGTTCACGTGCTTATTTACATAAGTCAGCACCTTCCAAGTATCAGAACTCTCTGTGCGAGTAAGTTCACGTGCTCATTTACATAAGTCAGCACCATCCAAGTATCAGAACTCTCTGTGCGAGTAAGTTCACGTGCTCATTTACATAAGTCAGCACCATCCAAGTATCAGAACTCTCTGTGCGAGTAAGTCCACGTGTTTATTTACTTACGTCAGCCGTCGTGTGCTGTCTTTAGCATGGAGCTGGGATGTTCCAGCTCTTATGTATCTTCTAAAATATTCCGCATGGGGCAGAGTCCCCTCACACCCCTCCTAGAGACGCCGGCCACTATTCACACTGTAAACCTACAAAAGAGTATTTTAGATTTAATGCTCGTTGAATAATTCTCTTAATAAGCTGTTACAACAGAAAATGTTAATTTTAAATCATCTCCCCTGCAAATAAGATGGTATCCAAAGAACTTAATTGCGTATGTTAATTCTTTTCACCAATCAAATCGAAAAGTAAAAACGGAGTTCTTTGTAAATGTAAAAACATTATGGGAATTGGAGAATATATTTTGAAGTTTTTCTTTAAGACCCTGGAAGTGTAAAGATGTGGGTGTGGCATGCTGTGAAATTGCGGGTTTATTTTAATGACGTAATTCCAACGCCCTGGTCGTGCACACTTTGCTATTTAATGTGACCAGGGTCAAGGTGACACAGATAGACTGCGAGCTGACGGCCTACCAGAAGTCTTGTGATGCCAGCCTGACAGAACTGAGAACCGTCGCAGAGTGTTCCATGCTCCCCAAACCCTGCAGGGAGAACGCCCCTGCCAGCACCCGGTACAACGGCATCTGTCAAAAGGTGAGCACACACATCACGTGACTTCAGTCATGTGACTCTGACTTCAAATCAAGCTCAATCCACTTTTTATAACTAAACATCAACTGAAATACCCAAACCGTATAAGTAACTAGCCGTCCCGGCCAGGCCGTGCTCTGGCTTCTGTGAAAAACCTTTCTGTTAAAGACCATCACCTGTGTGTTTAGTAATCATCATAAACCCGGCATTGCCCACCCAAACCACAACCAACCAAAACCAAAACAACAAAACGCAAACATAACGCTAACACAATTACAAATACAAACGAAAACAAAAACTTACAACAAACCAACCACAACCAAAAACACCAATACGAACACAAAGAAAAAAGCAAACGAAAACAAACCAAATCCAAACACAAAACCAACCACAAACACAAACACAAACCCAAAGAAAAAACACAAACGAAAAAGCAAACGAAAACAAACCAAATCCAAACGCAAAACCAACCACAAACCCAAAGAAAAAAACACAAAAGAAAAAACAAAAGAAAACAAACCAAATCCAAACACAAAACCAACCTCAAACACAAACACAAACCCAATGAAAATAAAACACAAACGAAAACGAAAAAAGAAAGAACAAAAACGAACCAAATCAAAACGCAACCACTAACGCAAAGCCCTGCTCTGGCTTCTGTGAAAAACCTTTCTGTTAAAGACCATTACCTGTTTGTTTAGCAATCATCATAAACCCGGCATTGCACACCCAAACCAAAACCAAAACAACAAAACGCAAACATAACGCTAACACAATTACAAATACAAACGAAAACAAAAACCTAACAACTAACCCAACCACAACCACAAACACCAATACGAACACAAAGAAAAAAACAAACGAAAAAGCAAACGAAAACAAACCAAATCCAAATGCAAAACCAACCACAAACCCAAAGAAAAAAAACACAAACGAAAAAACAAACGAAAACAAACCAAATACAAACGCAAAACCAACCACAAACACAAATACAAACACAAACGCAAAGAAAATAAAACACAAACGAAAACGAAAAGAGAAAGAACAAAAACGAACCAAATCAAACCACTAACGCAAACCCAACCTAAACACAAAGAAAACACTAACGCGAACATAAACGCACAGTGCTCAGAGTCTAGCCCGGGGCGGAGTCGCCTGTTCCAGCTTAATAAACGACTATAGTACCCCAACTTATTCATAGTCTTTTGCACTCACTTTAATGAACGTAGGCGCGAAACCGAACACGGGAGGCCCGGGACCCCAAATAGCACCCTGTCTGGGCGCCAGAGGACGCACCATGACGTCACCGCCTGATTGAACTTAGTAAACGACTATAGTACATAACTTATTCATAGTCTTTTGAACTCACGCGAACGTATATACCATAGCGTACACCGGAAGGCCCGTGGCGCCAAATAGCACCCTGTCGGGGTGCCGGAGGACGCCCGGATTTGATTCACTTAAAGACTATAGTAACCTTTCTTACCCATAGTCTATCGCACTGTTAAAAACAAAACTATGCAGCATAGCGCTCACATGATAGCCCAGGGTGCCAAATCGAACCGTGCAAGGGCGCCGGCGGACGCGCCTGTTTCAATTTAGTGAACAAAAATGATAATACTCCAAGCTTATCCGTAAATGGAAAGAAATAAACATATAGGATTTGTAGGACCTGGCTTATTAAATGTTATTGATTTAAAAAAAAATATTGAACAGTATGTTCAGTGTATAGAATAAATAAAAGGCAGTGTTAAAAATACCTAACGACATTGCACTTAATCAATCCCCGCTAATTATGTAATTATTTTTTTTTTCTTAACACCAAAAACAAAGTAATAAAATGTAAATTCTTTCTTCTTAAGAATTTTTTGTATTAAAGGGAAGTAACTGTGCAGTCAATACATTTCCGACACAATTTTAGAAATTTTATAAACGTCGATACACTTTTTAAAAATTTTATGTTGTGTTCATAATTGAAAATTATTCTTCTAAGTAAATAGAATGAAAATTGTTTTTAAAGACTTTCAATGGTAATTTTTTGACTCGTAAGTTTAGACTGTGAGCACGATAAAAAATCTAACACTTAAATCCATAGAACTGTCAACGACAAACTTTTTTGCCACACGTTACAGAACTAAGCTTTATATATAAGTAACTAGCCGTCCCGGCCACGCCCTGCTCTGGCTTCTGTGAAAAACCTTTCTGTTAAAGACCATTACCTGTGTGTTTAGTAATCATCATAAACCCGGCATTGCACACCCAAACCAAAACCAAAACAACAAAACGCAAACATAACGCTAACACAATTACAAATACAAACGAAAACAAAAACCTAACAATTAACCCAACCACAACCACAAACACCAATACGAACACAAAGAAAAAAACAAACGAAAAAGCAAACGAAAACAAACCAAATCCAAATGCAAAACCAACCACAAACCCAAAGAAAAAAACACAAACGAAAAAACAAACGAAAACAAACCAAATACAAACGCAAAACCAACCACAAACACAAATACAAACACAAACGCAAAGAAAATAAAACACAAACGAAAACGAAAAAAGAAAGAACAAAAACGAACCAAATCAAAACGCAACCACTAACGCAAACCCAACCTAAACACAAAGAAAACACTAACGCGAACATAAACGCACAGTGCTCAGAGTCTAGCCCGGGGCGGAATCGCCTGTTTCAGCTTAATAAACGACTATAGTTCATAACTTATTCATAGTCTTTTGAACTCACGCGAACGTATATACCATAGCGTACACCGGAAGGCCCGGGGCGCCAAATAGCACCCTGTCGGGGTGCCGGAGGACGCCCGGATTTGATTCACTTAAAGACTATAGTAACCTTTCTTACCCATAGTCTATCGCACTGTTAAAAACAAAACTATGCAGCATAGCGCTCACATGATAGCCCAGGGTGCCAAATCGAACCGTGCAAGGGCGCCGGCGGACGCGCCTGTTTCAATTTAGTGAACAAAAATGATAATACTCCAAGCTTATCCGTAAATGGAAAGAAATAAACATATAGGATTTGTAGGACCTGGCTTATTAAATGTTATTGATTTAAAAAAAAAATATTGAACAGTATGTTCAGTGTATAGAATAAATAAAAGGCAGTGTTAAAAATACCTAACGACATTGCACTTAATCAATCCCCGCTAATTATGTAATTTTTTTTTTCTTAACACCAAAAACAAAGTAATAAAATGTAAATTCTTTCTTCTTAAGGATTTTTTTTATTAAAGGGAAGTAACTGTGCAGTCAATACATTTCCGATACAATTTTAGAAATTTTATAAACGTCGATACACTTTTTAAAAATTTTATGTCGCGTTCATAATTGAAAATTCTTCTTCTAAGTAAATAGAGTGAAAATTGTTTTTAAAGACTTTCAATGGTAATTTTTTGACTCGTAAATTTAGACTATGAGTACGATAAAAAATCTAACACTTAAATCCATAGAACTGTCAACGACAAACTTTTTTGCCACACGTTACAGAACTGAGCTTTATATATTAGATACCACATACCACCGTTACATCGTGTCGTAAACATTCCCACTTTCTGTTAAAACCAATTTACATTAGCTAAACAAGCTACAGTAAAGGGCACATTTACAACAACTTACAATTTCTGACATGTAAGGGTCAGAGTAACTGATTTTACTGAAGCTGACTGTCGAAAACTACCGACCATAGCATCATACGGTCGCTGAACTCAACTGAAGTGGATTGTTCTAAATTACCATCACTACATCAATGATATCAACTGATCTAACTGATGTTTACCTTTGCAGGTGTCCACCCCCGCCCCCATACAAACCGTTCGCCCCACGGTACCATCTGGAGGTCCTGGCATGGTGGGGTCAAGGACATCCAGTCCCATCAGTGGAGGAAGCGGGAACGGCGCAGCAGAACTGGGAGCCTCACTGCTGCTCCTGGCACTCACGGCTGGAGTGGGGTCTTTGATGCTCTAAGTTTAGACACAACCTTGACATACATTTTAAACTATGATACTCTTTGATGTTCTAAGTTTAGACACAACCTTGACATACATTTTAAACTATGAAACTCTTTGATGCTCTAAGTTTAGATTTAACCTTGACATTCATTTTAAACTATGAAACTCTTTGATGCTCTAAGTTTAGATTAAACCTTGACATACATTTTAAACTATGAAACTCTTTGATGCTCTAAGTTTAGATTAAACCTTGACATACATTTTAAACTATGAAACTCTTTGATGCTCTAAGTTTATATTAAACCTTGACATACATTTTAAACTATGAAACTCTTTGATGCTCTAAGTTTATATTAAACCTTGACATACATTTTAAACTATGAAACTCTTTGATGCTCTAAGTTTAGATTTAACCTTGACATTCATTTTAAACTATGAAACTCTTTGATGCTCTAAGTTTAGATTTAACCTTGACATTAATTTTAAACTATGAAACTCTTTGATGCTCTAAGTTTATATTAAACCTTGACATACATTTTAAACTATGAAACTCTTTGATGCTCTAAGTTTATATTAAACCTTGACATACATTTTAAACTATGAAACTCTTTGATGCTCTAAGTTTAGATTTAACCTTGACATTCATTTTAAACTATGAAACTCTTTGATGCTCTAAGTTTAGATTTAACCTTGACATTAATTTTAAACTATGAAACTCTTTGATGCTCTAAGTTTAGATTTAACCTTGACATTCATTTTAAACTATGAAACTCTTTGATGCTCTAAGTTTAAATCTTGACATACATTTAAACTATGATACTCTTTGATGCTCTAAGTTTAGACAAAACATTGACATTCATTTTAAACTATGAAACTCTTTGATGCTCTATGTTTAAACCTTGACATACATTTTAAACTATGAAACTCTTTGATGCTCTAAGCTTATATGAAACCTTGACATACATTTTACAATAAACTATGCAACTCTTTGATGCTCTAAGTTTAAATCTTGACATACATTTAAACTATGATACTCTTTGATGCTCTAAGTTTAGATTAAACCTTGACATACATTTTAAACAAACTCTCATTGCTCTAATTTTAGATTTAACCATGTTATACACTATAAACTATGATACTCTTTAGACTAAACAATGACATAAATTTTACAAAAAATTATGGTAGACCGAACAAGCACTTAACAAAATAGCGTTATCTGTCTCATACAATTTGTTCCACAGTTTTCAAAATGGAATTAAATCATAATACGTTAGGTTTCTAATAAAGCATGTATCTTAAACAAGAATGTTTACACACAGTTATAATTCGTTTTAAAAATAGCCATTATAAATAGCTTATTATTTAAAATTATTATTATCTTTATACACAAGAATTATTGAGTGCATTTTCAAGTCATTAAATTTGGAACATTTTTTCATAGACCATTTATTTTCAGCTGTATGTTTTGTTCATGGTTTATTTGACCATTACCTCACTCAACAATGAAGGCACTAAACGTGCTTTCAGATTCCTACGACAGCCGTAATCACAGACGTCCTATACATAATAAAAATTAAAAACTCACTCTAAAGAAGCAGATGTAACTAAAATTGCTTGTTTGCAGACATTTGTTTTGTATGAACATGAAGATTGCCAAGACTATAAAAATACCTTCATTTTAAACTTTATCAGAATGTTACATTTTAAGATATCATTACTAACTCTTTGCACCTATTGTCGCAAACACGCATGTTAAAATATCTAAACATCTATTGGGTTGATCTGTAAAGGTCTGTAAATAAATATCGAGTTGAATCAAAGACCTTCTGTATTGTTTTACTTTAAAATTATGTTTAGAATTTTAACTACCACTTAATTATTATTGTGTTCTTATTTCGTCTTTATAAAATATCGCAATTATTGTTTGTAAGACATTAGACTTTTTTTTTTTGCTAGTTGTGGTTTGATTTAGTTTCATTCATACTGTAGTTGATGGGTGGGATAATTTTAGAGCATTTTGTGTCCGATTTTTTAAGAGACATGTAAGCTACATTCTTGATTTTTTTATTTTTACTAGTTATACGTAATATTTTTCTCATGTTGTTTGGCATTAGTGATGGATGACACTGAAGCTTAGAAGAGTTTTGATTTATTTTAAATATTTGGACTGATCTGCCAGTTTCTTCAGTTGAGGAGATGTGAACGTGTGTGAAAACAGAGAGGGTAAGGGGAATAACTCAACAATAAAGTAGCATAACTCTTGTTTCTTTTTTTTTTTTTTAAATCTTGTTTTGTTTACTTGAATGGTTGACATGATGTTCACTGTTGTGAGCGGACAAACAACCAAACTCTAAAGGGAAATAAAAATTATTGCAGCTTCTATAACTGATTTTTTTGTTTTCTTTGTTTCTGCATTAATTCTACATGTTTTTTTACATCGTTTTCATAAGAGATATTTTCTACATTTGTGTGTGTTTCTTTGGTGTGTGTGTGTGTGTGTGTGTTTCTGTGTGTGTGTGGCGGGAGGGGTGGGAGGCACACACAGATGTGAAGTGGTCTACGTTTCTCGTTTACTTCTACCGTGCAAATCACTTGTGTTCTTCTTCTTCGTTCTGAATTGTAATGTTAGACGGGATTTCTTTCAACAGAATGAAGTATTAAGTGTCAACTTGTTACACGCCAAATAGCCTGCTTTTATTTTTGGATCTGCCTTGATTTTGGAGTTTTCTCTCCTAGATGGGTTGTTTTCCCCAGTTTTCGAGCTTCATCTGCCCGGTAGGTGAGCTTGTTTATCACGTCAGACCCGCCCTTGTCATCATGTATTCGGTACTACCAGGGGCGTAGCGAGGGGGGGGGGCGGGGGGTGCGGACTGCACCGGGTGACACCATTTAGGGAGGTGACACCAAGGCAAGAAATAGCAAAATATATAGAGAAAAACTTGAGGGGGGGGGTGCAAATCGAAAGTTTGAGGGGGGGGTGCAAATCGAAAAATTGAAAGTTTGTCCCCGGGAAGGGTCGCAACGCCTCTGGGGGGGGGGGGGGGGTGACACCATTAAGTGCCGCACCGGGTGACACCCGACCTCGCTACGCCACTGGGTACTACACAACGTCAACTATATGTCCACAGTGGGACTAATATTATAAACCCTCTCTCCCTCTCACAACCAACCAGAACACAAATCAGCCGCTAGCAACAAGAGTGTCTGTCATTCAGCTGTACGACTGTACTGTCTAGTATTTAAAACTTAAAGCCAACAAGTCGAATGTGAGATTTTCGATGGTCATCTGTTCCACGACTACTGTGTATAAGGTTTGATTAGATAAGGTTAACCTTTCGCCCCTCCAGGGACATAGTTCACTGACAAGAGTTTTTCAGGGATCCCTAGTGTCCAAGACACCCAGCATAATTATGTAGATAAGGTTGGTAAGCCAGGAAAGTGGCTTGATATTATATCACACAGCCATTCCGTTTACCCCACAAACAGGCTATAGAATTTCTATTTGGCAAATGGATCACACGGTTCGAAAAGGAACATTACAATCATTTATGTGAAGTTACACTTTGAAGCTAAGCATCAACATGTGTCTAAATATATTCTTTAGGTTAGCAACAAACTGAAACATTAACTGAATTATTTGATTAAACTAACAGCTCCTCTTATGTCAAGACACCTTGAATTTACAAGAACTACCGCACAAAATAAGATTATACATGCATATACTTTTCATGATTTTTCGTCCAATATAATAATTCACAATGATTCTTCAACAGCTGCTGACACTTTAATTTCAATAAATTATTTGTATGAATCATGAGTAGCACTAGGACAAGTTTTGTCTAAATACTTTCAAGCATTTATAAGTTCAGTGATTTTTTTTTTATTTTAACAAATGGACACATCAAATAGTCGAATCTCTCAACTGAATCAGAAATAAAGTTAACTTTAATTCAATGAACTCAAGCTAAATTTAGATGACGTCACACTTCTGGGTGGAAGTAGTCTGTCCTTTAAACGATATTTATTTGTATGGACTTGTGTGATAACTGTCATCTCAGCTGAGTTTGTATTGAATAGATTTTTTTTCAAACAAATGGAAGGGGGGGGGGGGGTGCGTATTTGACTAAATTATGAAATTATTTTAGTGAGAGGGGGGATGGGTCTGAATTGTGTGTGACGATGTCTGACGATAAAGAATAAAGGTAAAATATCATCAAACATAGTATAATGATTTATGACTAAGGTTTAGAGTTTAGGTTAAGTTTTATGCTTAAATTATCGTAATTTGTTTTTTCAATCAAACATTTAGTTGTTTAGAGTTCACGTTCTTCACTAGAGTGTATGTGTACACATGTAGGTGTTTAAAATGCAAAAAAAAAATAATTCTTATAAATTATGGCTGTAGTCGTTATTTTCAGGTAGAGAAAAGCAAATTACAAGGCAGAAATTTTCACAATTAGTAGTTTTAGACTTTAGAAACAACATTTTGCTCATTTTAGTCGAAAGTAACAATTTTTCTTCCCTCTTTCACTGTTTAAATGATGATATATATAGAGTACTAACGTAAACGGATGTCAATGGTATAAATATAAAAAGTTATTTTATTTGTCACCTGGGTCTCTTTTATTATAAACAACATATGTTACAAAAAAAAAACATCTCGTTGCTGTATATTTTTTAAGTTGGAGTTTTCCCCGTTACATTAAGCTCAAAATTTGTATTACAGAAACCGCGACAGTCACAAGGGCCATGGTCAAAAGGGCCGGCATTAAAGCGCCCCCGCTGTTGTAGGCCATGGCCATGATGGCCCGCTCAGGGATGTAGAACTCGGTCTCCTTGCACATCTGGTTGTACACGGCGGCGTTGGCGTTCATGCAGGCCCGGGGCAGGAGCAGGCACTCCTGCTGCTGTCTGAACCCCAGGATGACCTTGCTGCACTTGGCCGTGTTGTTGGCGGCCTTGACCGCGCCCAGCTCGCACTCGATCTGCTCGAAACGTGCCCTGCAGTAGAAACAAAGTTCGTGAGCTAGGTCAGAGAAATCAAAACGTAAAAAGGCAATAGAAAAGACTACAATGTAACAAAGTTAGGAACGTACATCAGAGATAAATCAAAAGGAGGCAATACTAAACCCTGCAATGGAAACAAAGTTCGTGAGGTAGGTCAGAGAAATCGAAACGAGGCAATAGAAGCAATGTTTGGGAGGTAGGTCAGAGAAATAAAAACGAGGCAATAGAAACAAAGTTCTTAGGTAGGTTAGAGAAATCAAAACGAGGCAATAGAAAACCCTGCAATGGAAACAAAGTTCGTGAGGTAGGTCAGAGAAATCAAAACGAGGCAATACTAAACCCTGCAATGGAAACAAAGTTCTTAGGTAGGTCAGAGAAATCAAAACGAGGCAATACTAAACCCTGCAATGGAAGCAAAGTTCGTGAGGTAGGTCAGAGAAATCAAAACGAGGCAATAGAAAAGACTGCAATGTAAGCAAAGTTAGGAAGGTAGATCAGAGAGAGAAATCAAAAAGAGGCAGTAGAAAACCCTGCAACAGCAACAAAGCTAAGGAGGTAGCTCAGAAATAAATAAAAACGAGGCAATAGAAAACTGAACACTGTCAAGATAACCTCATTTTTAAATGCGTGTAAAATAAAACCCGTTAGAAAATCAGCGTCAGTTATCTTTAAAAATAAACTTTTGCTGTGGAATTTAGGCTATTCAATAATAACGTATCTTTTACCATATTTATACACGCTGTCCAGCTTCTTAACCGGGTACTATAGTTCTAAGTAACTTTAAGCGTTGGTTGCAGTTAATTTTTCCTTTTTGAATACGTACGCTTTACGATACACATATAACTTAATAATTAGTTTTTCTATTTATGTGGTTTTTAAATGTATGTATATAAATAAACGTTTTAGAAGTATTTGCCTTAATGCAGCAGTTAAGATAATTTTCTGGTTATTTGACCTCAATAAACATGAGATGGCCAGACAAAATAATAAACAAAGACTTGTGGCGAATTTCAAAACAACAGCCAATAGATGAGGATTTCAAGGCCGGTAAATGGAGAAAAAGATAATATTGCAAAAAATGATATGGACTGGAATCCCAAGGGAAAAGGGAAAATGGGCCGGCCAAAGAAAACATGGAAAAGAACGGTTGAGGAAGAGACTAAGACAGCTGGGCAATACATGGGCACAGATTAAGGGAGCAGCCGAAAACCGAGTCCGCTGGAAATGTGTAACTGCAGCCCTCTGCTCCCCATGGGCTACAAAGGAAAGATGATGATGAAACATGGGATAGTGTAGTGGTTACTATGAACACTAGGCTTTATTTAGAGTCGATTATTTAGGCTATCAAATATGTCCACGGCTTGATTACGGTCTATCTATCTGTCTTTGCTCTCAAATATCCATGCCGTTTCTCAAATACCATTCTTTGTAAAAGAAAAAAAAATAGAAAACAAAACAAACGGATGACTGTTCTCGAATACCAGTCCTTGTAAACAACACAAACGTCCACATACTTGCATAACTCGTCCCTGTACGTGACCTCCGTGATGTCAAGGTCATCCAGTTGTGTGGTCAGTGCCGTGGTCCTGGTGGAGATTGTGTTCCTGCAGGCTTGGACAACGGTGCTAGGGTTTTCAAAACATTTCACAGACTCCATGTAGACTGGAAATACATGATGAATATTCAATTTTTAAATTTTTTATTTATTTAATTAGAAGCGTACCCCTTCCCCTCATAAAACGCTAATTCTTATCACCGAAAGTAATTTATTAAATTTTATTTGAATCTAAATTTCTACGATATGAAGTTTATTGAGTAACTTTTGGATCGGTCAAAACCTGGTTATGTGGCACAGTTGTAAAATTTAGGTTAAAAATAAAAGGTGCTCCGAAATGCATATGGAATAAAAACATGAAAAAGAACTTGCACATAAAATGAAAACGACAGAATTTATTTATCCATGGTAAATTGCAAATAGAATCTTCAATCTTTATAGTCATTATTGCATTTTAATAAAAAAACAATTAAAAATAAGATTAAAGTTTGTTCAAAATATTGTATTAATTGCCTCCGCAGGGGATTGAACCCTGGATCTTCGGTTTACGAGACCGACGCCTTACCACTTAGCCACGAAGGCGTTATGATGTTTGACAGCTGACTGACCATTGTTAAATTTTCCAGGAACAGATTAAGAAAACAAAGCAACACTACCACACGACGCTATCACATGACACACCACTCACCACACCACCACACACCACACCACACCACACCACGACACACCGACACACCACACCACAACTCGACACACCACACCACAACTCGACACACCACCATATGACACACCACTACATAACACACCACCACATACCACACCACAACTTAACCCACTTACTGCTCGAGTAGTTACACAGCACCGTGTAGGTCTCACTGAGGGCTGTAAGGTCAAGGCCGTAGCTCTGTAGCAGAAATTGAGAATCCTTGCAGGTGGAGGCGGCGGTGTTGAGGCACTGCAGGATCGAAGTGCGATTTCTGGGGGAATAGACAACACACGCTACAGTGGTTCTCAAACAACTGACTTAGGGAATAAACGACAACACACGCTGCAGTGGTTCCCAAACAACGTACTGAGGAAATAAACGACAACACACGCTGCAGTGGTTCCCAAACAATGGACTGAGGGAATAAACGACAACACACGCTACAGTGGTTCCTAAACAATGGACTGAGGAAGTAAACGACAACACACGCTACAGTGGTTCCCAAACAATGGACTGAGGAAATAAACGACAACACACGCTGCAGTGGTTCCCAAACAATGGACTGAGGGAATAAACGACAACACACGCTACAGTGGTTCCCAAACAATGGACTGAGGGAATAAACGACAACACACGCTACAGTGGTTCCCAAACAATGGACTGAGGGAATAAACGACAACACACGCTACAGTGGTTCCCAAACAAGGGACTGAGGGAATAAATGACAACAAACACTACAGTAGTTCCCAAACAAAGGACTGATGGAATAAACGACAACACACGCTGCAGTGGTTCCCAAACAAAGGACTGAGGAAATAAATGACAACAAACACTACAGGGGTTCCCAAACAAAGGACTGATGGAATAAACGACAACACACACTACAGTGGTTCCCAAACAAGGGACTGAGGGAATAAGAGACAACACACGCTACAGTGGTTCCCGAACAACGGTGATAAGAACACCATAAAGCACTTCTTAGACTAAAATGTCAAAAAAAAAAAAATTCGACCTTTGTAAAGCAACTTTAGTGGAATGATCAAATTTTTCCCTTGCCCCCTCCCCCCACAGGATATCTGATTGGTTTATCTGACACATTTCCAGTAAGTAAAAACATTTTGGCATTGTACATGTAACACATGGGACGGCGTGATCGGGTGGTAGAGCGCTTAACTCCTACCTCGAAAGTCTAGTTAGAACCTCGAATTCGAGTCTGTAGAACAACCCTGAGAATACCCAGATCTGATGGGTACCTGACACATGTTAGGGAGAGTAAAGGTGACTGGGTAAAGTGCTGACTACACCATATACATGGTGAAGAATAAGATGAACTCTACTTCATCTGTCCAATGAATCGTCAGGTGAAAGGGGAAGTTTGTTTACTTTTACCTGTACCAGTTTTGTAAAGTTACCCTCATAATTAGTAAGACACTACTCCATCTGACAATTTTTAAATAGATAAACAAGTTGTTGAACTCACTGACAAAGTCTTTGAGCTTCTGTAGCATTGACCCCAATGATTCGATCCCTGGGGGAGGCGGCCCCAAACAGTAGGACGTCCTGGGTGAGGAAGTTCAGGTCTGTATAGCATTTGGTCAGACTTTGTTTGAAGGTCGCACGGCAGGCTGTGGAGGTAATAAATAGACAATCAATAGGTTGTCAGAGGATTTTTATAACCAGACACTCCATAGGTTGTCAGAGGGTTTTATAAACATACACTCCATAGGTTGTCAGAGGGTTTTATAAACATACACTCCATAGGTTATCAGTGGGTTTTTTAAAACAAGACACTCCATAGGTTATCAGAGGGTTTTAAAACCAGACACTCTATAGGTTATCAGAGGGTTTTAAAACCAGACACTCTATAGGTTATCAGTGGGTTTTATAAACAGACATTCCATAGGTTATAAGTGGGTTTTTAGAACCAGACACTCAATAGGTTATAAGTGGGGTTTTATAACCAGACACTCCATAGGTTATCAGTGAGGTTTTTAAAAAAACACTCCATAGGTTATCAGTGGGGTTTTATAACTAGACACTCCATTACCAGAGGGGTTATTTAAAACCAGGCACTCCATAGGTTGTCAGAGGGGTTTAAGATTAACCATAGCTATCAGGATAATACACACTAATCAAAGATTTTATTTATCCCCTTTAAATCATTTGTTGTCCTGTATATATTTCCGATAAAAAAATGTACTGTTATAGTTGAGAACGAAAAGGATTTATAGATTTATACCGATATTCCTCTATTTTGAAAAAAAATATTTATAAAAAAACACTTGACTAAGTTATTTAGTATTTAAAGAAAATGTAGCGTAGAAGCACTTACGATCTTCACACTTTTTGTTGATTGTCTTGAAAAGTCCTTTGAAGAGGGTCATCAGACTGGCCTTCTGTGTGGCGTTACATTGGGTGTCCGGCAGAGTCTGGGCATTGTCCACTACAGCTTTGACACACATGTACAAACCTGGTCTCTCTCTAGGGAAATGGCGGCAATTAGAATTCTGTGTATGTATTAGTGACTCTATAGTTATACACGCATGCTTTCAGCCGTTTGAATCAACACAATTATGTATATATATATATATATATATATATATATATATATATATATATATATATATATATATATATATATATATATATATATATATATATATAGGAATATATATACATAAATATATATGTATATGTATATTTATATATATATATATATATATATATATATATATATATATATATATATATATATATATGTGTGTGTGTGTGTATACACATACGTGTATGTGTATGATATTGTACATAATATATATATATATATATATATATATATATATATATATATATATATATATATATATATATATATATATATATATATATTGTGTTTTTATGTAGTTGTGTAGTGGCTGTTCATACGTATGGTGTAATCACTAATTTTTATATTTTTCTTCTGCTATCTATTCATGACTTGAATACAAATCAGTGTTTAACAAGTGATGGCCACAAACAACAAGACTTACTGGCAAAGTTTGGCCATGAACCCATTGAGGTCTGTGGGCTGGGCTCCCAGGCCACCATTCCTGGCCACCCACAGGAAGTTGTCGGTGGCGATGCTGCGGTTGCCGTTGCAGTAGTTGAGGTTGGTCAGGAACATGCTCTGACACGTGTTTTGACCTTTGACACTGACAACCCCCAGAACAGCGACTAGGAGAACAGTGCGAAGGTTAATGACCCTTATGAAAAGTTAAACATTTGTAACTAAATGCTCATCTACTAAAACCAACCCATGTAAATAAGCTACATAGTTTGTGTTAAAAAAAAAATAAAATAAATAATTATAGCCAAAGACTACTTACCTGCAATAATTATTAGATATTTCGACTCCATGGTGTGTCTTTTCCGGTTGTTTATATTTATTTTTAATCCAATCGAATTAAGCAGAAATAACACTTTGTTTCAATAAATACAACTATAAGTTCTGTTAAGAGATTATTTCACCACGCAAATATTTGTACTTGATTCGTTTAACTGACTAAATATTAAAACTATCTGGAACCAAATTCTTAAAACTTGATTGTATGTTCACAAATATTATACTTTCGTTTTAAGTAATACTTTAAATATTGAAGTTCTTTTGCTTTAGAAATTACCGAAAAGTGTGAAACAGCTAAAAAAATGTTCGTTGTATTTTGGTCTAGTTCTAAAATCTTTGTTGACAATTTTTAAAAAAGTGCTTGGTTTTAATTGACCTGTTTCCTGTTTACAGAAAATATCCGCGTCACACGATCACGTGGGAAATCCCACCGAAACGAGTCTTGATTTGCCAGCAGCGTTTGCTGACGTCATCGGATAGTTGATGTTTTGATGGACATTTCGTCAGCAGCCTCCACCACTTAACCCCTTCTCCACCTTACAATCATTGCACTAAATTAAAAAAAAAAATCCATATAATTTTGAGTGCGAGTTTGACGTATTTGACCCTCCCTTATGTTAACCCTCGAGGCGTTGATCAAGCGTTTCTCATGGCGTCCGTACACGCTTCTGATCTGTATGACGCGATAGGGCTGAACACGCCATGTTTGAACTGTGAGGTCTGCACCAGACTATGATTGATAGATACACACTCAATACATGTGTATGATAGGTTCAGTCGGGGGTTATCAAAAGGTAGGCTCACCTACAGTGAGGTCATATATACACGTTTTTCTAGAGGGATTATGTTTGATATTTGCATTACTTTTGTTTGAACACAATTTTCTTTTCAATACAAAACAAAGAAAACAAACAACACACGAAGTAGATTGATATTTTATACTGATTTAAAAGTTGATGCTTTACAGACATTTTTTAAAAATAAATCCATTTCAATAAGTATATTTAATGACTTCAATCCCTCCCGCATATTTGAGCCTCTTTCCCCCCATAAAAAAGAGAATAAAACTATTACACACACTTCAGCCCCCCTCCCCCCATTTCAACTAAAGGCACCTTTCTTAAGACAGCAATTGTTTTCTAAAAAACTAATTGAGCTATTTTCTTCCATAAATAAACGTATATTATATACTACGACAGCTATTGTTGACTGTTTGCTAGCAAACTCGTTTTTTTTTCTCTAAACGAACGTCTTTTAGAGGAAATGTTTAGAAAATCCAGGGCAAATTAAGTTACCATTTGTTTTTAAAATTTCAGTTTACCCAAACTTGAGTTCAAACTTTTAGAAATGCGGAACAACTGCTGGAATTCAGTTTTACATTAACTTTGTTCAAGTGTGACCCCCCACGCACAATATTTCAATCATTTAGTTTTTCTAATTTTTTTTTGCTAGAGAGAGATTTGAAGCAGTTTTGTTTGTTTTGTATTTGCCATCGTAGAACACAATCTTCTTAGACATGTGCAGTTTAAAGCAATTCTTACTGAGTAACATGATAAGTTGGTAAACTACGTGCCATCTCTCATCCCTAGACATCAAACACTTGTCTGTTCGTCTCAAACATTTGATTAGCTTTACATTTTTTAACTTACTAATCAGACATGAACTTTTAAACCCTGACCTCTAGTTAATTAATTATTAATACATCAATTAGGTGATTAACCTTAACTTTGACAGTTTAATCAAAGTGTCCGCGGATTGATGTCTAAAAGGGGATTAACCACACACCTCATCTGACCTGGAAAGTAGAAACTTTTGGACCTTCAGCCATTTGTACGAACCGTCATTGTACACGTCTGTTTTATCTTGCTAATCGAAATAAAATATATGGACACTTTTGTAATGGTGTACCGCAAAGTGTGATAATCTAGACAACAAGAACGACTTCATAGAAAAAATAGCTGTTTGCTTCTTCGAATACCTGTAATGGCAGAAAGTTAATCCGTATCACGTTAAGCACTGAATTAATTAGCTAAAAAAGAACACAAATGGTATTTTGACGTATTGAAACTATACACATTAGTGGCTATAGAAATTAGAAAACAGACTCTAATTAAACATCTTTCGAGGCGTTTTTGTTGCTACACATTTATTTATCTCTATCTTAATTTAATGACTGTATTTTCAAAAACGGACTCTAATTAAACATCTTTCGGGGCGTTTTTGTTGCTACAAATGTATTTATCTCTATCTAACTTTGATGACTGTATTTTCACCTGCACATAATTATGTGCAAGAATTGAGGAGCTAAGTAATCATTGGGACTTCCTATGTCCACTCTCTATGTCCACTTTCTATGTCCACTCTCTATGTCCACTCTATAGCCACTCTCTGCAGTCTTAAATAGCCACTCCCTATTATCTCTCCCTATTGCCACTGACTAGTGTATTATTGTATACGAGCCGGCCCGCGGCATAACATACGCCGCTATTTAGTTGTTTTTTCTACTTTTCAGTTATTCATAATTTGTGAATTCGACAGTACAAACGCTGCCACTGAAAATATTTCTTTAAAACACTATAAGTAGCTAGTTAAGGACCATAACCCCCCCCCCCCCCCCTCCCCCTACGTTTAAAATCGTTTCAAACTAAATTATCTGCCCCTAATAGTCGTCACTAAACCCGGCTCTGCTTGTAAACATTTAGAGTGAACACAGCTCACTAAGACCATGTAGGGGTGGGGTGGTAGGGAGCGCGTTTATAGCTGTTTTCTAGCGTCTCCCAGAAGAGAATTATATATATATATATATACGAGCCGACCCGCGGCGTATCATACGCCGCTATTTAGTTGATTTATTTTCTACTTTTCAGTAATTCATAATTTGTGAATTCGACAGTACCAATGCTGCCACTGAAAGTATTTGCTTTAAAACACTAACCCCCTCCTTTCCGCTAACCCCGACCCCCCCCCCCCCTCCCCCGTGAAAGCAGCCTCCTCTTAGTTACCTCCTGTAAGTTTAAAGTCGGTTCAAACTAAATTATCTGCCCCTAATAGCCGTTACTAAACCTGGCTGTACGATTTGTAAACATTAACGTGACCACAGCTAAGCAGACAATGTGGGGGTGGGGTGGGGTGGTAGAGAGAAAGAGAGGGGACTGTAAGGAGGCGCTTGCAGCTTGTTTTCTAACGGCTCGCAGAGGAGAATTATATATATATATAGATAGATAGATAGATTGTACTATAAAAATAACTTAGCCTTCTTTTAAAATGTAGTTGAGGCAAGGTGTGTAATAACTTTTAAACAAAATTCATGTTGGCGAAAATTACATGGCTGATTATCATGCCTCCGCAGGGGGTTGAACCCTGGATCTTCGGTTTACGAGACCGACGCCTTACCACTTGGCCACGAAGGCTGCTTGAACACTATTTTTATTTCTAGAATTTTATTAATCTTTATCTTACTTTGATGACTATTTTCACCAGCACACAAATATGTGCAAGAATAAACGTAACGAGCCGACCCGCGGTGTATCATATGCCGCTAAGTATATAGTTGTTTTATGTTCTACTTTTCAGTAATTCATAATTTGTGAATTCGACAGTACCAATGCTGCCACTGAAAATATTTGCTTTAAAACACTATCAGTTGGTCTTTAAGGACGATAACCCCACCCCACCCCCACCCACCTTTCCCCCAACCCCTACCCTACACCCCCCCCTCCCGTGAAAGCAGCCTCCTCTTAATTACCTCCCCTAAGTTTAAAATAGTTTCAAGTTAAATTATCTGCCCCTAATAGGAGTCACTAAACCCGGCTCTATGATTGTAAACATTTAGCGTGAACCACAGCTCACCAGAAAATGTGGGGGTGGGGGAGGTTGATTTATGCCTAGTGAAGAAGAGAGGGGACTGCAAGGCGCGCTTACAATTTGTTTTCTAGCGTCTCCCAGAAGAGAATTATATATATAGATTGTACTAGTTGTACAAGGAAAATAACTTAGCCTTCTTTAAAAATGTAGTATAGGCAAAAAAATATCAACACAAATCTAAAAATTACATTGCCGATTATCGTGCCTCCGCAGGGGATTGAACCCTGGATCTTCGGTTATCGAGACCGACGCCTTACCACTTGGCCACGAAGGCTACTTGAAAGCTAATTTGTATTTCTAGAATTTTATTAATCTTTATTTTACTTTGATGACTGTATTTTCACCAGCACATAAATATGTGCAAGAATAAAGGATCTAAGTAATCCTTGCGTCTCCCCATAGCCACCCCCTATAGTCACTCCTTATGTCCACTCCCTATTACCTCACCCTTTTGCATTTGTACATTGTATATTGTACTAGGAAAATAACTCAAACTTCTTTAAAAAAAATAGTTAAGGCAAGGTTTGTAATAGCCTTTAAACAAATATCATGTCATAGTCGGCATTCAAGCTGTGAGAAAAGCATCAACAAAAATCTAAAAATTACATAGCTGATTATCGTGCCTCCGCAGGGGGTTGAACCCTGGATCTTCGGTTTACGAGACCGACGCCTTACCACTTGGCCACGAAGGCTGCTTGCATGCTATATCATATCAAATGTCTAGTATACAGAGCTACTATGTTATACAACATTAGGTACTTGAAAATTACGACATCGTAAACCGGTCTCTTGTTAGACAAGACTGCGCAGAAAAACAATATAGAGTCAATGAAGTTCACTGAAGTTCCTTATCCAACCCAGTCGATATTGCAATCCCGCAAAACGCTTTAGCTCTGGTATTGATTTGTTTTTCTTCATTCTTAATTGTACTATTGAAGGAGATTTCCTGTAATACAACTAAATATTACGTGTTAATGTTAAACGTCATGCTCTGTTGAATAAAATTTAAGCCTGCTTTTAATTCTAGATTTGCTTCTATAGCCTTTGTTCACCCATGACCAACATGCTAGACAGCCATTGTTTGAGTGAAGTTTTCTCTCCTAGATGGGTTGCTGTCCCCATCTACCACTGGGCTTGAACTCGAGACTTTTGAAGTTTGCAATAATGATAGTTTATTCTTGCAGATGATATGGTATTTGAGGGTTATTCAAAATAAGATTGGATGTATACATTTCTATTTTTTTTTAATGTTTACACTGGTTATATCAAATGAACTCGTTATTATGTATTGAGCCCTCGAGCGCCACCTTAATAAGTTAAAAAAAAACAACCAAAAAAACAATACACGTTTGTAGTTCTGAATAGTTGAGTAGAACTTTTAAGTATAAAAAAAATACTACCTCCCTTCAAAGTATATTCAGTGATAACCTCTAACAAGTCTAGATTTTGAGAACGATGTTTCAATTTTAAACAGCCGTATGCTACAGTTAGATCTAAAGTAGAAAATAAATCTATAATGTTATTAAAGTAAGATAATGCTGTTGGGAGTGCCGTTGCGATTCTAAATGTTCCTCTTTGCTCCTTATGGAACATAGGGCCTCCACCATATCCTTCCCTTTTGTCCGATCCCCGGCTATTAATTTTGCCATCCCTGTTGGCTTTAGTTCTTCGAGAAGACTCCGCCTCCAGGTCTGTCTTGGGCGCGCTCTCTTGCGTGTAAATTTGTTCTTCAGACTAAAATTTATTTTATTTGATCCTTTACGTAAACAAAAATTTAAAAAAAAAATAAATAAAAGAGAACAACCAATATCCAATGTTTTTATTTATTTGTACAAGAAAAAAAATTTATTTTCAACTATTTTCAAATTTTCAATTCTTTTCAAGAATCCCTGCTCCTGTTTTACAGTGGAGTTGGACCTAATTCAGGACATTTTAGGACTTTTAGGACCAATTCATTACCTTAACTGTGCAGGTAAGCTTTATCCGCTTACACATAAGCTTCATATGGCTCACCTTTACAATCTCCACAGGTGAAAGAAAATGTACAAGTTTTTCTTTAGACTAGAATTTAGTTACAACAATACCATAATAAATTTTATTATTCTATTGCAATAAAATAAAATAAAGTTATAGATGACATTATTAATCATTGATAATTTTTTAACACTCATGCAAAATATTGAGCTCAAAATAAACACAAGCAAAGACTTAATTCAATTAAAAATAAAAATTTTCTTAACAATTTATTCAGCAATATTTTAAACTTTAGATCATTAGAGCTTATAAACAATAAGTAATTTTAAGTCCTATTTAGTGGGCGAGGTGTCTCTTTTGCTTCATCTATAATTTTGTCACTGCATAAAAGATAGTTTTGAGCAATGGAGTTAGACGATCAGCAGGGCAACAAGAACGGCGGACATGATAGCTGTACTGGCCCACACCCTCTGGGAAGTGTTTCTGGTGAAGGCGGCTGATCTTTTGCTACTGCTACAGGGGCTGTCCTCTCCCTCTACCTGTAATAGGTCATTTAGTTACGTCATTTTGTGTGGGAGGTAATGTCTTTGTGGTAGTTATTGTTGTAGTATGTCCTTTTGTGTTGGGGGTTTTGTCTTTGTGATAGTTATTGTTGTTATAATATGTCTTTTGTGTGAAAGATATTGTCTTTGTGGTAGTTATTATTTTAATATATCTTTTTGTGTAAGATGTATTGTCTTTTGTTAAGTATTGTTAAAAACGACTTTATATGCGAGAATAATTGTTTTTGTGATAATTATTGTTAAAAATGTTTTTTGTGAGAGATGAATTGTCTTTGTGATAATTGTTGTTAAAATATGTCCTTTTGTGTGATAGGAAATGTCTTTGTGAATTTTTTAAAAATATGTCCTTTTGTGTGATATGTTATGTCTTTGTAATACTTGTTGTTAAACTATGACTTTATTTTTTAAAGATGAGATGTATTGCTAGTGTGATAGTTATTGCCAAAGTCTCTTTGTTTGTGATGATTATTGTCAAAACATATCTGTCCACAGCTCTTCTTTGTAAGAGAAACATTTAAATGTCTTTAATACTATCATGTGTAAATAGGTTCTTTTTTCACGTTGGTGTGTTAAATATCTTGAAAACAAATCTAGATCCATCTATTAATAGTTAAAACGTAAATATTTCAAGAATCGAAAAATCTCCAGGAAAACATTTTTGGGGGCTGGGTTTACCAGTTTAGTGTTGGACTTGCACTGCTGAGGAAGTAGGTCACACTCCAGTTCCCGACGAAGGCCGATGACCGAAGCCGTACAGGACTCGTGGTTTTTTCTAGCCCAGGCAGCCACGTCACAGGCGATGTTGGTGTAGGATAGTCTGGGGAGAGATGAAGTGGTACCAGACTAGAGAGTTGGGTAGGGGTGTGCATATGTGACGTCACATGTGATGTTGGTGTAGGATAGTCTGGGGAGAGATGAAGTGGTACCAGACTAGAGAGTTGGGTAGGGGAGTGCATATGTGACGTCACAGGCGATGTTGGTGTAGGATAGTCTGGGGAGAGATGAAGTGGTACCATACTAGAGAGTTTGGTGTAGGGGGAGTGCATATGTGACGTCACAAGCGATGTTGGTGTAGGATAGTTTGGGGAAAGATGAAGTGGTACCATACTAGAGAGTTTGGTGTAGGGGGAGTGCATATGTGACGTCACAGGCGATGGTGTAGGATAGTCTGAGGAGAGATGAAGTGGTACCAGACTAGAGGGTAGGGGAGGGGGGTGCATATGTGACATCACAGGCGATGTTGGTGTAGGATAGTCTGGGGAGAGATGATGTGGTACCAGACTAGAGGGTTGGTAGTTTTCTGTAAAAAGGGAGTGGAATGGGTAAGGGAAAGGGGCGAGTGGGATCATGGATATGTCACGCAACGTTTGCTGATTCTTGAATAATTCTTCTATCGTTGAGAAAAGTCAGACACGTTCCTTAACCGTCATAGGTATCAGTCCCTTCTTCCATTAAATGAATAACGTCATGTTAAACGACCGGTACATAGCCTTTTATGGAGCTAGTTAATCTTAAGTCTAGGCTTGTATGGGATAGCAAATGGGAAAAAAATAATGTTAATCGTCTGGTTGGTGTTCTGTTGCAAATCGGCAAATCATTGAGCGCAATACAAATTATAAAATATTTGGGTATGGCTTACCAACAAGGGTATGGTTAACTGACTAGTACGATTTATAATACTACCAAACTTATATATCCTGTATGGGCCATATTAAATGACCCAAGACAAAACTTACTCGCAGTACATAGTGTAGTATCTGTCCTGAGTCCAGTTGCCGTTCTGTGCCTGCATGGCTAACTGGATCAAGGCCTGTTGCTGTTTCTGTTTGCAGATGTCCACGTCACTAGTTGTCTCCGCGAAGCAAGAAAGGCCGGTGACGTAAACTTTTGGAAAACAGAAACGACATTTACATCAAACGAGAAGCCATTGAAATTAAATGAGAAACCATTGAAATCAAACGAGAAACCATTGAAATCAAACGAGATACTATTGAATTTTTTTTCATGAAATAAAATGCAAAACGTATTTCTCTTTGATTATTAATTTGCTTAACACACTGAAAACAATGCCAACATATCAAAACAGTCTACTAGAACACGGTTTTATTTTTGAGAATGTCGTCATGAAAAAAACAACCTGTCCCACCTTTAGTGTTAGCACATAGAATTTTGACGCCGTTGGTGAAGGCTGGAAGGTCAATGTCCACTGTCCTGAGGATGGCAGCCGATTCTGGACAAGCCTCGGCTTTACTCTTCAAACAGTCCATCAATTTGTCTTTTACACTGTGATAAGTTTGACATGTTTCATGTGTTAGTCTACACATTTTATAATAGTCACACTATTGACAAGGTTGACAAGTTTGACATGTTTCATGTATTGGTCTACACATTTTATAATTGTCACACTATTGACAAGTTTGACAAGTTTGACAAGTTTTACAAGTTTTACAAGTTTTACATAATTCATATATTGGTCTAAACATTTTATAATTGTCACACTGTGACAAGTTTCACAAGTTTGACAAGGTTGACAAGTTTGCATGTTTCATGTGTTGGTCTACACATTTTATAAATGTTCACACTATCGACAAGTTTTTAAGTTTTACACAATTCACAGATTGGCCTTCACATTTTCAAACTTTTACACTGTTTACAAGTTGTACAAATTTCAGAAAAGGTCCTAACAAAAAACCCAATAATAATCAACCAAGCTTCAAATACTAGTAGCATATAGTGATCATAAAGGGTGGACTCGCGGTGTACTGGGAAATTACGGTGGGCCCCCAGGGAAAAAATCTCGATGAACCCCTGGAAAAAATCTAAGTGGGCCCCCAGGGAAAAAATCTCGACGGGCCCCTGGAAAAAATCTAAGTGGGCTCCAAGGGAAAAATACGGTGGGCCCCAAGGGAAAAATCTCATGGCCACCAGGGAAAAATCTAGGTGGGCCCCAGAGAAAATCTCGGAGCCCCCCCCCCCCCCCCCCCCCCCCTAGGAAAAAATCTCAGTGGGACCCCAGGAACGGTGCTGTTACAGTCCTATTGAACTTAAAAACTTTGTTGGTATTTTAACATTCCTTCACGCTAAGGTCTAGAATTAACTGTTTGGTCTAGACCAGCGGTTCTTAACACGGGTTCGGTCGAACCCCTAGAGTTTGATGATTCAGTCTCAGGGGTTCGGTAGGGTCATGATACAAACCCGACTATTATGATTTGCGATCAGATTTCGTCAGTGTGGCAATATGAACGCTAGAAGGGTTCGATGCGCATAAAAACTAGTGGGGTTCGGTAACTCCAAAAAGGTTAAAAACTACTGGTCAAAAACTTAAAGAGCTGTTGATCTGTACAAATAAAACTGTTTGGCACATACACATAAAATCTACTTCACCTACACCCATCTAGCCTCTAACCTGCAGAATTTATTGGCCTGCTCCTCCGTGCTGCCGATGACGGCGCCGTTGGTCGTGTTAGACATGAAGAGTTTGCCGTCGACGTCGTTGGCTGTGTAGCACTGTCGCATGTCATTCAGGAGCGTGTTCCTGCAAGCTATACAAGCATAGGCGTGTACACTTTAAGTAGAGAATTTAAACAAGCATAATCGTGTACACTTCAAGTAGAGACTTTTAAACAAGTATAACCATTTACACTTCAAGCATATGTTCACAAGCATAACCATGTACACTTGAAGCAGACACATTTTCACAAGCGTAATAATGAGTGTGTATGTTCTACACTCCAAGTAGACACTTTTTTTTCACAAGCATAACCATATATATGTGTGTGTGTTTGTTTGTGTGTGTGTGTGTGTATGTGTATGTAAACCATACATTTAAAAAATGTTAATGTGGTTTTAGTATAATTAATTGCCTAATTATTTAATGAACGACACACGGTTGTACTCACGATGCATGCACTTGACGTCATAGGTCGTGAAAATGTTGGTGACCTCTCGTCTGATGGTCTCCACGTGACTGGTGCTGGCTGAGGTGCCAATACAGGAAGTCGTGTTGACGATTGGCACCAGTTTCTGCATCACGCATGCGTAGATCTGCTGCTCCACTCTACATGGACATCACAGAGATAAGGAAATACATGTTAAGGACATTGGCTGATAATCTCTATACAGACATGATACCACAACAAAACATATGTTACATATATTTTCCGCTCTATTCTACACAGACATGACATAAACATAGACATAACAGTACATATGTTGTGGGCTTAGGAGTCATTTAAAAGTTATAAAAAAACATATAGATCTAAAGATATTTTGCTTGGTTTTAAAATAAACTTAAGAACGGCTCTAGCTTGTGTTGAAAAAAAATTAATAATTATATGGTCCTATATCAACAATTCGACTTTTAGTAACATTGGGCAATAAAAAATGAATTAATTATCAATTACATTGGATTTTCCACAAAATTGTATATCAATCTTTAAACGAAAACGAATGAAACCGTGGACTTTTTAAAAGCAGAAATTATAATTGTAGATCGCATGCCTAGTTAATGTGTTTATATTCAGCTTTTGTAGGTTATCATGTCACCTTCACGAAACACCTGCAAACGTCTACTTACCTAAATACACAACATCAGTAAACATCTACCTACACACACACACGCAGCACCAATAAACATCTACCTACCTATCCACACACACAAGCAAACATTTCCCTACCTACCCACACACACACAACACAAGTAAACATGTACCTACCTATCCACATACACAACACCTGCAAACGTCTACCTAACAACATACACAATACTACCTACCCACAGTCATACACAATACTACCTACCCACATTCATACACAATACTACCTACACACATACACAACACTACCTACACACATACACAACACTACCTACACACATACACAACACTACCTACCCACAGTCATACACAATACTACCTACCCACAGTCATACACAATACTACCTACACACATACACAACCCTACCTACACACATACACAACACTACCTACCCACATACACAATACTACCTACCCACATACACAACCCTACCTACACACATACACAACACTACCTACCCACATACACAACACTACCTACCCACATACACAACACTACCTACCCACATACACAACACTACCTACCCACATACACAACACTACCTACCCACATACACAACACTACCTACCCACATATCTGGGTCTTAAAAGTCTCCTGATTGGCAGGAGCCTCAGACTTTGAACTGGTTCCGTTGGTGACGAAATAAGCAAAGTTGCCGGTGGAAATGCCGGAAGCCTTGGCGCATTCAGCCAAAGCGTTGGTGAAGTCTTCCACACATTTGGGTATGGTGGCCGGCGTCTGGGGTACACACGGAGTGATGACGAAAGCAGCAAGAACAAAAACTATAACTGGAAAAAATGTACGGCCACACGTTGGTGTATTATAAATAGAGGTTACATTACAAGGATAGAAACTCGATATAATGAATTCACACTTTTTAAATTCAAAACCAACTTTTTTTGTAGGAATAGCATTTTATTCAACTTGAATGTGATTCAGCTATAAAGTTTACAACATTGTAAGATGTTTGTAAGACACAACATTTTAATTTTAGCATAGTATATAATGGTGAGACGTTTTCTGCACAATTAAAAGGGGATGGTTTGGTATGTAGAGTGGGGGGGGGGGGGGGGGGGGGTAAGGAGTCCCAGGGAACTTATTCTGAACTATTCGACATAAATTAAACATAATCAGGAAAAAATAAAACACAACTTGAAGCTATACTCACCCTTTGCACTCAATCTACAGTCCATTATAAACGCACACGCGCGAGTTTTTTTATTTTAAAAATATGCAATATTTAACTTTAATAACAAACGTTCAACTAAATGTTTTTTAACCACCTAACAGATGCAGTAAATCCACAAATCCACCTACAAGATCTGGTAAAATGCACTTGAAATTTTTTTACTTTCTAGACCACAGCACTAATATTATCTTTATTGTTAAGTTTTACCACTATTTTGAAGAATAATACAAAAGCATTATTATTAGATGAATATGTAAATAACTAAAAGCATGGACAAGCAAATGCAGTATTCGATCACCACAAAAACACCTAAAAACGAAACGCGAAACAAAATCCCGGAAGTCACGCCGACCTACAGGTATCGTAAAATCATTGCGTGAAATATCGTAGCTTTCAAAACTTCGATACCGATTATAGCAAGCCTTGAAGGGGATATAAATTTTCTCGAAGGAAGGATAATTCAGTAGAGTCTGTTTGACGTAAGAGTAGCTACCCCTGGGGCACACACGTTTAACGCCCTTGGATAGATTTTACCTTCCTAAGTTGTGCTGGATGACAGAGTGCTTGATGGATGGGCAACAAGAAAGGGGATCGTGTACAGCTTTAATTAATTCTCATTAATCCATAATTAATGTATGTTTTTTTTTATAAATGTTTTACTCAAAAGGCTAAATTAGTAAAAACGATGTTGTTAAAAGAATACTTGTACTTTACTTAGGTAACACACAACTACTAGGAAATATCGATAAAAAAGAGTGGGTAAGTGTAGCTAGAATAGGGAGGGGGGGGGGGGTAGAGTGGGGCAAAACAGCAACAACAAAAAGCATAAATAAACTGATAGTTGACACATGACGAAAAAAAAGGAGCATTAAGGAAAATTGACTTGAACATCGACTGTGAATATTGTTCTAGAACAATATCGTTTCTGTTTTGTATCAGCGTACGTGACAGATACAATTATGGAATCGTCTTTAAGAAAGTGTTTTAGATTGCTGGTAGTACAGTATAATGTGATTTTACTTGATAGCCCTAACCATAACCGATACCTAACACAGTTCTTAACATAAAATCTGACCAGAACACTTCACCTGACTAAGATCACAACAGTGTTAGGAAAAATCTTTCAAAGTGTGGGGGCGGCGTGGTGTAGCTGGAGTGCGCGGAACTGCTAACTCCAAAAGTCCAGAGTTCGGACCCCATGCAGATGAGACCAGTTAGTTGGGGACAGCACCCAATCTAGATTGTTCTTTGGTGAACAAATTTAAAAAAGCAAATCCAGAAAGTCGGCTGAGTCATCTACCCATTAGACGCATAACAAGTGGACACGACTTGTTGGATAAGAGCGAGGAAAAAAGAAGAAATTCGAACTGTTTGATATTTACTAAGGCAATATGCCCTTGCTGTTTCACACAGAAACATGTGCCATTTCGATTCCCCTACATACGAATGTAACGTTTTCCTTCATATTGTATAGCCAACATGATTTTAAAGTTAAAACAATAAAAAAAAAAACAATGTGCCGTCCTGCCTCCGCAGGGGGTTGAACCCTGGATCTTCGGTTTACGAGACCGACGCCTTTCCACTTGGCCACGAAGGCAACTTGTTATTGTTAACCGTTATACATTTATTTAATAATATCTAATAACTGCGCGAATTGTAAAACTCGAAACTGGAGGACAATATACATTTTACTTACAAATGTAAAACAATTGCATTACGTGTTTGCATTTTAAGATGGCTATAAAGACAAATACAGATTGTAGTCTTGATAAATATGTAATGGTGGTCTGTACAATTTAACACAATATAAGTGATATTATATATATACCATGTGGCCATTAAACACCAATTAACGTTTATAGTCGTGGTGTGAATTTAACAAAACAGTGGCAATGTAACACTAGACTGTCACCATATAATATCGTAATTATTTCTCCAAAGTAGATGAACTTGGAGTTTTTTTAGGTCAACAGAGCGAGTGAAGTAGAGTTCACCTATTTCATTTACCTGGTCATACGAAGGGATAACGGGGTCAACACATTGCTCAACCACCTTTACATTCCCTGATGCTAGTCATTTAGTTGACACAAACCGGGATTCGAACAGGAGACTTTCGGATTAGCAATTAGCTCTAGAATTCGACCACGCCGTTCCCTGACGTGTGGTTGTTGAAAATATTTTGTGGACGCCATAAATGGATTTCGCCACAACGGCAAAATAAATGTTTCTTTTAAATATAACCCTTTAACATATAGACCATACACACAACAAACTCGTGTTAAAGCCTGAAGCATTAAAACATCAGTCTATCGCTAAGGGTACATATCATACATAATCTGCTGATAAAAAGGAAAATATTTAAAAACAAAACCCTCTGGGGATATAATAAACTTAGATTTTACTGGAAATTGTTTTCGTTTAATATCGAAAAAGGGAAACAACCTTTGGAATTGCATGAAAACAAAGGGAAATAAAAAATACAATTTAATATTAAAATATTATTTTGGTTATGTACCCTGTACCGCATTTGAAATTACTAGCGGATTATGTAAGTTTATTGTAAAACTTTTTTATGCAGAAAAAGAATTAAGAAAACTTACAATTAGAGGAAACAATAATTAAACAGGTAAGACATTTACTGAACGCCACGCGCACCCGAACCTTTAATATAATTATTAGATAAAGACAAGTAAACCACATTTAATGCTATGGACATATGATACCTTAACACAATTAAGGCAATTCTTATTATTTCAAATCATAGACCAGGGGTCGGCTTACATTTTTTTAGCGACCAAAGCGTTTATTGAAGAATATGAGTTTATTTAATTTTAACACTTAATTTTTTTCAAATAGAATAGAATCACGTAGAAAAGCTGTATACTAAATGAAGGTGTGTATATAATAGAGAGGTAAACTATTACTCTATAAAGGAAAAAAAAAATTGACTCATAGACGCATCTAAAGACAGAAATATTACGATTGTAAATCTGTATCAGTCCTCACAAGCCGATGATGAAAACTGTAATACTAAAGCGAACACACAACTGACGCTATAAATTACGTGTCTGAGGCGAAAAAAAAATAAGAGAAAAAAACTGAGCTTCTCCAGATATCGTCAAAAATATTATTTTCACAATAATCGGCACATATGAAAATGTAATACAAAAAAATCGTCAAATTGTTAACCAGTTGTTACATTATCTTCCAGAATAATATGTTTGCACTTTTTTGGAATATCATTCTGTCGATTTCCAGTTGTCAGATTAATACTGCCATCTGAGCGCTATTATTAAAACTAAGGAGACAAAAAAAAAAAAAAAAAAAAAGACGCATCTAAAATGATTTATAATAATAAACCAATGCATTTAAAATTTAAGCACATTGTTTTGCTAATTCTTAAATCCTGTGGCGCCGGTAGTTTTGTCTTTAGATTATCCTAAGCGCTTACATTTAAATAATAAAAGTGTAATTATCCTTTCATCTGTATCAGTCCTATTAGGACATAAGGCGTCCTATCATAGCTCTACAGTTGAGAGTGTAGGCCTACAGGCTATTCAATTCTGAGCTCTACCTTGTATTTAGGGGTCTATTAAATTCGTGAAAACTGTATATTTGTCTCCGGCTAATCGTTTGGCAAGAACCTTCTAACTTGGGATAATAATAGATTAGGTAATGATCATCACTTGATCCAGGCTATTACGATAATTAGTCTAATAACATTGGTTATATATATATATATATATATATATATATATATATATATATATATATATATATATATATATATATCTATATATATATATATATATATATATATATATATATATATATATATATATATATATATAAACGAGAAAAATGGCCCGTTGAGGAAGGATACAACATGCGCTAGGTTGATAGTGCTGTCTTTTTTGCTCTAAACTAAAACCAAAACCAAAATCACCACCTTAATTCAATTTAACCGGAAACGAAAAATTACATTGAATACGGATTTGTATCCAGAATCGGTGCTTTAATTTATACAAAATATAGTCATAGGCATATCCCTAAACCGTGCACCTAATCTCATTCGCATTTAGAGTTTCTTTCAGGGAACTCTACTTGGGAGGAGGGGGCTCCGCCCCCCCCCCCCCCACACACCCCAAAACATGTCTACCGTCCCATTCAACGAAATAAAATTATATATTTTTTCCAGTGTCCGCCCCCCTCCCAGAAAATTCTAACCCCGCCCCCGAAAATTTTAAGTACCCCCACCCCTCTCTGGGGAGGAAAAAGTCTGAAAGAAACACTGGTCACATTTGTAGATCATACAAACTAAAGGAAGAACCTGGGCGGGGCTTCACCCCTACCGGAAGAGATGCATGAAAAAAATTGTTCACGCTAAACACTTTTTTAGATTAGAAAAAGTTTCCACCTCCGGGAAGGAAAATGTCTGAAAGAAACATTGGTGTCGCGCTTAGCCACTACCTGAAGAATTGCATGAAAGAATGATGAGATTTTTTTTTTTAGTTAGGGGGGGGGGGGGGGGTTTGGGGGTGGGGGTCGGCTTAGACGTTCTTACGTGGGGGATTGGCTTCGCCCCTACCCCAAGAATTGTATGAAAGAAACTCTTCACGCAAACCACTTTTAAGATTAGACGAAATTGGCTTTTTAATTCAATGTTTACTCGAGAATCAATGACGTCATATTATTATGTGCACTCTCCGGCTTGATACTATTTTCTACTGTCTTCCCAATGTGACGTAATGTTTGTCTCCGTTTTACTATGCATGTTTTTAATTTGCTTGTGTTTTCTCTAGAGCGTTCTTGTCAGATACATAGATAGATAGATAGACAGACAGCGAAACTATTAGTATATATATATATATATATATATATATATATATATATATATATATATATATATATATATATACATATATATATATATATATATATATATATATATATATATATATATATATATATATATATATATATATATATATATACATATACATA